TTATAGAACTTTATCTATTAGTATATTCTAATATATATCTTTATACAGATAAAAACTTTATAGAGGCTATCTATATCAGTATAATAGTATTTAAAATAACCCTAACAATAGGTTAAAAGATAATACTAGAACTAATATAGGCTCTATTCAACTCTATATCCCCAGCTAATATTGTTAGTAATATAATGTTTCTTAATAACGGTATCTACTGGAATTAAGATAATAATACCCTCTATAAAAAGGCAACCTATTAGATTATCTATAAAATAGAGAGGATATTAGATATCTTCCTTATCTATATAAGGCTATCGGCTATCAGTAGAGAGGTCTTATATACTATAATATCCGTATAGGCGGTTATAGCTTCTATTAACTATAGAATAATATATCGCTACCTTATATATACCGGTAAATCTATTGTTAAAGCTGTATATAATAACGTAGGTATTACGTTAATCGGGAAAAACAATAACTTTTACAAGCCCTATATCCTCGGTAAGGTAACCGACAAACTTAGGAAGTTCGCCCCTATTTAGAGGACAAAGCTGTTCAACTTTATTTATATCGATATAGTTTAATATAAAACAGCTAGCCATTTCGGTTATCTTTATAGTATCTATATTATTAATATTTATACTTCCTATTAATAGGTCTGTTTCGCTAAGGAAAAGGGTAAAGCCTTTTTATATTTAAAGGACTTTACCGAGATGATCTTTACCTAGATAGGAGTGTAGATTAAGATCCTCAGCATTAACAGTAGTACTGAATTCGGTTAGTTGCTAAAGCTTTTTAAGGATAATAGCCTTAAGGTTTAGGCTAATAGTAAAGGTATCGTTATTAAGAAAATAACGCTAGCAACCCTATAGATAAATAGGAAGATTAAATATATAGTAGTAACAGTATATAAATATATCTAGATAGCTATTATTATATATTAAATCCTTAAATAATTATAGCTATTTATATTAGAAATAATAGTTATAATCTCTAACCTACTACTAACAAAGGTAAATCTGGGTAATATAAGTATCTATAAGAGCTTTACTATAGCGATGAATATGCCTAAGGAGGTTTGAAAGCCCTATATCCAGTATTTACGTAGCTACTTTTATTATATATATTACTACGTTAAACCGTATCTCTATAATAAATTAGATAAGTTTATTATAAGAGTATATAAAGCTAGACTAATTAGATATATAGATATCTATAGAAAGATCTACTGGGTTTAGGACCTAGAGACTCGGAAAGTTATCTGTGCTATAGCTTATAAGTTTAACGAAGAAGATAACTACTGCCTGGATAACGATATCGATCCAGAGAAGTAATATATCATTATATTTACCGATATAATAGTAGAAAAAGATAAGGTAGCTTTAGCTATCGAATCTACTATTGTTACCTTTAAGATAATAATATCTAACCTATAGAAGAGGGTTACCTTTAAACCTATCTAATAATAAGAAGAAACTTTAGCTATAAGAGAGATTAATATAGTTAGTAATAATAGTAAGCGATAACCCTTTTAAATAATAGTAACTATTAGTAGTTTATTAACCTTAGAACTAACTCTAGAACCGGACTAACAATACCTAGGTTAGGAAAATTATAATAACTAGGCCCTTAAAGATAAAGATATCGAAGATATTCTTTAGAAGATACCTATACCCTCTAATTATAACCTTATTTCCTATATAACAGGATTAATTTAATAAGAGGTTAGACTATAACGTTTAACCTATATTTGTTTGTTAAAATATAGTAATATTATATAACCCGATTTCTATATTAAACTTATAAAGGGTAAACTACCCTCCTAATCCCTGTTTACAGGCCATCTAAATAATACCTGAAAATCTGTAGAGGGGATTATCTTTATTGTATTGCCTCTATAGGTTGACCGAACGATTAAGATCTTCTTAAACCTAAAGATCCCTAAGAACTTCAAGGAAATATAATAGTATAAGAACTTCAGAGACTGGTAGCTCCCTACAATATAAAGCTAGGATAACAGTCTAATCAACAAAGATATATATAAACTAGTCGATAAAACCCCAGATATAAAGGTCCTCCCTAGTAAATAGGTATTTAATATTAAGAAAGACCCTATAACTAATGTTGAATTTGCCTATATAAGATAGGTTATCTATAGTAACTTTAATTAAGGATTTTAGAAGGTTTAAAACGTCTATACTATAATTATTAATAGTATAACTGTTAAGGTTTTCCTTATATTAACGGCCGTTATAGATCTCAAATACCAATAGTTTAACTTTAAAATAGTATTTCTAAATACAGAAATCCCTAAAGATATAAAGTATTTCGTCGAACCGCTGCCTAGTCTAGAGAAGCTCCTGGACAAAGTTTATAGGTTAAAGAAGGCTCTCTATAGTTTAAAATAGAGTCTACTATACTAGTTTATAATATTAAAGCTAGTTATAGAGTTATGAGAATATAAGTTAATACCTTCTAACCTCTATCTCTTTTACTATAAAAAGAATAATACCCTAGTTATCCTCTATATAGACGATATCTTAATCTTAGTACTAACTATTAATATTATTAATATTATATATAATAGGCTAAAGGCTTATTTTAATATAAAGGAACTAAGTAAAGTTAAACATTTCTTTAACTTTAATATTGTTTATAACCGATAATAAAGGAAGATCTTCTTATTATAGGAAATATATTTATAGGTAATATTTAAATAATATAGTATTAATAACCTTAATCCTATATAAACTCTATAGTATCTATACTTTAAATTTCTATATTTATAGGAGCTATTTAATAACGAAAAAACACCTTATTAATAAAAGATAGAAAGCTTTAACTAGCTAATAACCGGTTTATACCCCGATATTATATATACTATATTATAATTATATAAAACTAATAATAGTCCTTTAGAGAAGTATATCTTATTTCTCTAATATCTTTACCGTTATTTAAATAGAACTATTATATTTAGGATCGAATTTAATAGATCAATAACAATTAATAACTTAATAATAAAGGTATTCGCTAATACCTCCTTTACTAACGGTTTACTTAGATAATAGTTAACTAGCAGCTATATCGTTTTTATTATAGGAGGTCTAATACTATAGAAGATAAAGAAGTAAACCTTTATTACCTTAAGTATAATAGAAGCCAAATTCACAAACCTCACCCCCACTATATTAGTAATATAGTAGGTAGCTAAAATACTAAAGGATTACAGTACCGAACAGCCGGTACCATATATAGTAATAACCGACAGTAAGAATATCCAGATAATAGTAATAAACCTATTAAATATAGTATAAATAAGATATCTTAATATTCGATATAAATAGATTATCGAAAAGGTTAAGGAGGGATAATTTACCGTTAACTATATTAAAAGAATAAATATAGTTACCGATAGATTAACGAAACCATTAGAATATAAGATATATATATAGTTTATTAAGATATTAGGTATAATATTATAGAAGGTTCTGTAAAAGGACTAAACCATTATAGGATCTATTAGAGGTATAGAGCCTCAATACTATATAAACTATCTAGACTTCTATATTCAGTAGTAGGGAGGAGGTATATAGCCGTTTGTAGAGGGGTGTAAGAGGTGGGGCCTTCCCTGGCCCACCTTACGTATAGGGCAACCGCCCACATCCTCCCGCAGTAGCAGGGCTAGCTAGCTTTTCCTCCTACACACAACATTACACATACGTTTTTCCCACCGACTCTACTATCGCGAGTCCCACAAGTCCGTATTTTGACTCGACACGAGGCAGGACGCCCCTTAAAGCCAGTTACAGCTGCGTTGTAAACGCCGGGCCAGACATTCTCGAATTGCTTGACAAGCATAGTTCCGAAACCTGCCCGCGTCGTTCGGGGGCGTTGATATTACTTGGCCCACCCACCTCGGCGAGGAGCAGGTCTTGTGACCTCACATCCCCCAGCAGCACACTCGCCCGCCTCTCCTTCGGATTTGCACTACAAGATATCCGCCCCGGCTCCATTCCGACTCGCTTTGTCCCAGGGCAACCTGCCAGTACAGGGGTATCAGCGCCGTCTTCGACCCGACCCGGTGCCGGCGGCCCGCCCAGCTGGGACCGAGAGATGGTGTCCAAAATGAGGCCCGCGACATGCACCTGCTCCAACGACGGTAATATTGCGCAACCTGCTATCATTATAGCAAGGGCAGTATTTGCTCCCGTTCCCATGAAACGTCGGCTTGCCGCCTCTGTGCATGGTCGACGAGGCATGATAATGCACCATTGGTTTAGGCGGAGCTGTAAGCCAGGTCAGTACTTAGGGCGCAAACGTACCAGTGTTCGCGAATCACGCCGAGAAGCCAGACTCCCCGTAGGCTCGACCCATCCCGAGAAAAACGCCGATGTTGTTGTGAATAATGGCGTCATACCGGGTAGGGCTGTCGGGTTCGGCAGCGAGTGTCTTTGTCTTGTCGACGCCGCTCGAATCGGCGGCCAACACTATCTCAACTCCCTGGTAGGTTATTGAGGCGTCGCGTGTGCATTCGACATTACACGCATGCGGAACAACCCGATGGCTCTGCGAGCAATAAGACGTCGCGCTGCCAGAGACCCAAGGCACGGACGAGCCAATGATAAGGAAACGAGTCAAGGGTGGTGTTGAGGGAAACGATAGCCGAAGTTGTGTAACTGGATCAAGTGGAGGTTTGTTTCGTGGTACCACAGCCGGGGGACTGGACTCCTTGGCTTCAGAGAACCTCCCGTTTCAACTCTGCACGCAACATGGAGGACTCGGATCTGGAGCCGGCCACATGACTCGGACCATTCTTGTCGTGGCCGCCCACCCAGGCTTCATCCACCCATCACACGGCGTTCACACGTGTGAAAGCGCCCGGTAGGTCGGATGGATGCTTGTTTCGACAACGATAGACCCATCCCTGACGGGCGTCGTGCGCAAGGAGACAAAAGAGGACTGCAAGTCGCGTCCAGCAAACTAATGCCGGTATTGCCCGCGGCATGGGGGGGGTTATACCGCGAAACAAACAAACAAGACACCCGAGAGTAACAATATATTCCGCCGTATCCGCGCTATGCTTGACGATAAACTCCCCGCATGCCCAGAACGCCCCTGTCGATCACCCCCTCCCGCCATTGTAGTCAGCGCCGCCCGCCTTGCGTAACCTGACGACGATGTCGGCCTCGTCCAGGTCCCTCTTGTCGTCGGCATCGACCTGTACGCTGTAATGCGACAGCACCTTTTTGACGTTCCCGGCCTCGATGCTGACGCGGGCCTTGCGCATGGCCTTTGTATTCTCGCCGATCCAGACGATGAGGGCGAACTTGACGCGCTTGCTCTCGGCGTCGTTGGCATACTCGACCCGCACGTAGGCGTACTGTGCCTGGCCGTCGTCCAGCTCGGCTGCCAGCTCGGGCAGCCCGCCCGTTCCAGTCTTGCTCAGGATCAGCTTGTCGCCCTTTGCGGCGGCGTCCGAGATGAGCAGCCAGTTGGTGTCATCCTTGTCGGACCGCACCGCATCGTACGCGGCTAGGATTTCGGGGGAGTCGACACCAGACATTGTTGCTCTGTCCAGTCCTCTTGCCTGCGCGTACTCGTTCGTCGGTCGAGAAAAGGGGGTTCGAGGCAGGCGGTGCGGGGTGTGGGTGGTGGTAGGTTGTCGCGCGCTGAGTCGCAAAACGCGGAGATCGATGTCGCTGGGCCGTGGTTGACAGGCGCAAATGGTCAAAAAATCGAACTTGCGGGAAAATAACAGCAAAGTCGACTTCAATTTTAGAACGCGGCTAATTTCTCAACCAAAGATGCGGTGAGCCCCTCGACCGCTGTCTTCAGGAGAGGGGCATTTCGGTTTCAGGGTCTCAGGTCGATCGGACAGGTTGCCGGGCTTGGCAGCTCCAGTCACCTAACCCTTGTTGGGAGCGGCAATGCAAGGGGCGGGCGTCAAAAGGGGTGTATGCTGAGCTTTACCTTGTACCGAGTCCTGACCAGAGCGGTGGGCAAGGAGAAAAAGCGGAATGACAATCCTCTAAGGCTACTTTCAAGCTAAACCGATGCCTCTATAACCCGGCTGTACATTTACAACGCACCCTGCAGCATTACCACGTGCCGGTAAGGGGCAAGTCCCTGGAGCTCAGCCCAACGCCAAACTTGTACTCTCCCTCCGTAACCATGACCCAATTCTGCTCCACCACGTCCCAATAACTCAGATCCCTCCTCGTGAGGCTAAAGTGCGCCGTGTGCGTCTCACCGGGGCCCAGATAGAACTTGTTAAAGCCCCTGAGTACCCGGACGGGGAAGTCCACTCCCTCCTTGGCGGGATACTGCAAATACAGCTGCGGCACGACAGCGCCCGCGACGGGGCCATCGTTCTTGATGTCCACCGTGATGCTGACGTAGATGGCCCACAGGTCTGGGTTGCCGCCTTCGTCACCGCCTGCGCCGCTCGGCGGTTGTTCCGTGTCGTAGCCGTCGGGGTAGGGGTAGGGCCCGACCTCGATGTCGTCCGTCGACGTGAGGTACGGGTAGATGTACTTCTTGAGGGCGCGGAAGTTGGCAGGGAACTCAGCCTCGCTCTTAGGCGGCATGGCGGCCGAGAGGCTGGGAGGCTCCGCCGCGGGGGTTGGGCGGCGTTCTGGGAGCGCCGATTTCTCCTTTTGCGGGGCGACACGGAGGTTGCTAAAGTTGAACGTGGTGTAGCTCAGGCCGAAACCAAACTCGAACCGGGGTGCGATGTCCTTCTTGTCAAAGTGCCGATAATCGACGTACAGACCTTCCGAGAAGTCTTGCTGGGGAATGACACCATTTGGCAGGTAAAGAATCTTTGCGCCAGGACCGTAATCGTCCAGCGACTTGCCGATGGTAAAAGGGAGATGGCCCGAAGGGTTGGTATCGCCAAAAATGATATCGGCAAGCGCGTTTCCGGACTCTTGGCCAGGGAGGTTGGCGAGGAGGACAGCCTTGACGTTGGGCAAGTCGATCCATTTCTCCATCAGCACTGGGCCAACGGCATGGACCACAACAATAACATCGCCGGAGCCGCCGCCGCACTTGGATGCCACGTTGACAATGAGGTCATCACCACCCTTCTGCAGATTGAGATGCGGCCGGTCCCCGCTAACATCCTCCCACTTGACGAAGCCTTCGCCGGCATCAGCGCTGACGAAGACAATGCACAGCTCCAGATCGTCGATCGCGGCCTTGTCGCTGCCCGTGAGGGATGGTTTGTCGACTAGGTACTCGTGGAGATCGACCTTGGAGGTGTCAAACTCCCTGCGGAGAGCTTCGATGGGTGAAACCAAGTAGGGGAACTCGACGGCCCCCGAACCCCAACCCGAAGCCAGGGTGCCTTGGTTGCTGGAGTTTGTCAGCCAACGTTGAAGCCACGGAGAAAAGAACCGGCCCGACGGCGTAAGGTTCAGGAAAGTACACATACCAAGCTCGGTCCTTGCAGTGGTTGGGTCCGTTTCCAGGGCCGGCATCGTCGCCAAACACGCCAATACTGAACTTGCCTGTGTGTTTCTTCCCAGTAGCTCTCTCGATGAACCCGCGCCTCATTTCGAGTTTTGGCTTGTCGAGACCCTCGCGGCTGATCGGTAACAACCCCTCGTTTTTGAGCAGCACTGTGCCCTCGGCAGCCACCTCACGGGCAATGATGGAATGGTTTGCTTGGACATCCACAAACTGGTTAACAACGACCTGGTCCTGCGGATCAGAGCTCCCCGGTGCCAGAACGCCCATGCGATCATCGGTCCACGAGGAGAAGTTGGGCGGCTGTCGCGGGAACTTGGTCTCGTCGTCTTGCCCGAGTTGATACCAAGCGGCCACAATCCGGGTAACCATGTCGTTCAAGCGGTCAACCGGGACACTGCTGTTGAGAATGGCCCTGCTTAGTTCAGGGCCCCAGAACGATTCGCCGTTCGCCCACTTGGCGCCATCGCCGGGCATCGTCATGTCCAAACCCGCAAGCGCTGTCGCCACTCCGGATCGCTGAGCAAGCCAGTCGCTCATGACAAATCCCTGGAAGCCCATCTCATCCTTTAGGATTCCATTGAGTAGCTTGCTGTTACCACAGGCATACGAGTTGTTGACCATATTGTAGGAGCACATGACCGATGCAACACCGGCCTTCACGGCATCGCCGAAGGGCCACGCGTACAGTTCATGGAGCGTGCGGTCGTCGATGTTGGAACTAAGGGCATGTGGCAGACCCCACTCCCACTGCTGGCGGAAATGCTCTTGCTCGTTGGCGACGAAGTGCTTGATAGTAGCCATGACGCCCTCGCTCTGGATGCCCTTGACGGTCTCGGCGCCCGCCACGCCCTGCAGGTACGGGTCGGACCCGAACCCCTCCCAGTTGCGCCCGCCGGCAGGCATGCGGCCGAGAGGGCCGACGCAGGGGCCAAGGAGGACGTTGATACCCTTCTGGCGCGCTTCAATGGCGTGAGCCTTGCCACGAGCATACATCAGCTGCTTGTTCCATGTGGCGCCGACCGTGATGCCGGCGGGAAAGGCGGTGATGTTGTCGGCGAACCTGATACCCAACGGCCCGTCCTGCAGCTGCAACTGGGGGAACCCAACGTGCACTGCCGGCCCGTTGGTGCCCACTGCCAACCCCATCTGCCATCCAGTCCCGGTCGTGACGTTAACCTTCTCCGCCAGCGTCATCTTGTCCACCATCTTTGCCGCCTTGTCGTAGCTCGCCGCCCAGGTCTTCGCGATGCCGCCCTTTGGCGCCGGGTACCACGGCGGCGACTGGCCATAGGGCGGCTCATCCTGGTATTTCTTGTAGACGACAGCGCCACCCGCGCTGAGGAGAATCCAGAGCACAATGAATGTAGCCAGCAACCCGATGCAACACCGGCTGCGCCTCCCCAGGAAACGTATAATCCACCATTGGCGGCCCTTATTCGGGGTGTGGAACGAACGGGACTCTTTGCGGGACTCGGCGGCTTCGTGGTCGAGATAATCGGTTGCTTCGATATCCGAGTCGGAATCGTGGCCGGGGCCATCTTCGGACAGCCTCTTGGCGTCGCGGAGAAGCCCCTGCTTGCTCTGGTCGCGCGGCATTGTATCCATACACTTGCTGGCTTCTTCTGCTCGCAAGAAGTTGTGATCGAGGTCAAATTTCTGTTCTCGGGACGGTGTACCTCGGCGACATCGATAACGATATGGTGAGGTGAGGGGTTGGAAGCCGGCTTCAGAGGGAAAAGAGCAGAGGCTCGGTCGGCTGTCGGATGCCCAAGTGATTCTGGCGCAGCTTGGAAACTGGGGCAGATTCTCCACTGATCGACGATGGAAGCCAGTCGCGGCCGTCGGGTCGCCTTGGATGACAGTGGATGACCAGCCGTGGTCCAGGAAACGCGAAGCAGCGACGCACAGCGACGGCAACGGCCCAGCTCCATGCTCGGCCCCTGGCTCAGTGTTCCTTGGCGTAACTCAGGCCTGGGACTGGATCCGATTGGGCGGCCCGTCCACCCGTCTGGCCCAACAATTTTTGACCGGTTTCGTTGCTTCCAACCGGAACAAGGCCGATGTTCCTTTCTGGTCCGGGCGACATTTTGGGACGCGCCTGTGTCAAACACACTGGCTTGATGCGAAACTGGCGAACCCAGTCTGGCTCGCCAAAGGCCATGTGCCCGCTGCCACCGAAAGCGCGGCCACAAACGCGTTCGATTCTTTGGTTCCCGCAATACCTCTGAATGCCGATATTGTTTCCGAGACTTGGTCTTGAAGCGGAGAAACGCTGGAGCACCCGCACTATCGGCCGAAGAAGATGCGAGGAACCATGGCGGGTGTGCTTGGTGCGGCGTCGAAGAACATACCGACGGCCAGAAGTTCAAAGGCTTTGGGTTGGAGCGCCGCTGCCTGGACTGCAAACTCTTTCGCACCCTATTCGGTACCGAACGAGATCCTGACGACTAGGACGACTCGGAGATCACGCTTATGTGCCAGAATTGTGGTGTTTTGAGAGAGGGACACCTCGAAGCTAACAAGTTTGAACGACGAAGTAAGTACCTAGATGCGATATGCTCCCTGTCGTCGGACAAAGTAGCAAGAGGGATCATTAGTTGTGAGAACGAGCAAAAGGAATCGAACAAAATATCAAGCAAAAAGAAATAAATGAAGAACCAAGTAAAATAAGTAAAAAAAAGAAACCGAGTAAGATGGGTAAATAAAAAGAAATCAAGTAAAAGCGGTCGAAGAAAAAGATTGAAAAAGGGAATTAAAGAAAGAAACCTAGGAAAAGAAAGGTAAATGGGATAGGCCTAGTTTTTTCTTTCCTTTTTTTTTCTTTTTCTTTTAAAAAAAGAAAAAAAGAAAAAGCTTTTAATAACAAAGAGTTACCTTGCGATCTATTCTATTTCTGCAGTTAGAGCGCGGCTTTTCTTCTTCGGATCGCGGTGCCCAAGGGGTTAGGGTACCCATGGGTAATTCCCGGGCCTCCCCAAGGGTTGCGGCCAGCATGGAAACAGCAGGCGAGCCAGCCAGGTGCGGAAGATGGAAGTTAGAACTTGAACTACCTATCTTGCTCCCGGGTGGCTAGACATGTCATAATTTGCTTGAAAGGCGAGCCGAAAGACTGGCAATATCACAACTAAAAGAAGCTCTTTTCGTGCTCCTGGCCATTAGTGAACCGCTGCGGGGACGGGAAGGCCGGGTGGCTTACCTCAACGGGCTCGAGATCTGGAGAGTTGTTGCAGGTTCGCCCTTCTCCATGGTTGAGTTAGTTTTGTCACGAATCATTCCTCCATGATGTGTGCAACCTCCAAATACCAGCCAGGTGTTGGAAGAACGAACTCGTGATCTGTTGTGCTCCGTTCGGCCTGGATTATCCCGATTTCCATCTCCGAGCCCGTTCCCGCGACATCCGCTTATTCTTCTTTCCGCAGACCTTGCAACCTTGGTCTCGGATGGCCTTTGGGATGCTAAAGCCTCCCTGCATTAGTGACCACGCCGCATTGAGGCCGTAGGCGGAGAAGTCTGGAAGGGGAATCGATGTGTCTGCCCGCATTTTCGCGATGAAGAGGAGGACAGCTGGCCGATGCCATTGCCGTACTGCCGTGGTATCTCCTACGATGTTGAGGTATGCCTGGAAAACTGCTTCGAGGAGGAGGCAGATGGTACGGTTACCCTCAAGGGGCATGCTCGCGATGATAACGAATTTGGAGTCGACATTGTTGTTGTTGTTGTTTACGCTTAACGTCCGGGGGCGCGGCCGCGTAGCGGACGCGCCAGATGCCTAATAGCGTGTGGGGACGTGCTGAGCTAGGTCTAATATACAGAGTAATGCCCATACAGCATCTCTAGCACTATGCGCCTTTCGACAGCGTTGTACTGCCTGCATCGCTGTCGCCACCGCCTCCTTTCGCGGGGTACACAGTTGACAATCCAGAGCCGTTCGGCTCGCCCAGGGGACGCCCCGGGCCGGGGGGACGCCCCTGATTGATCATAGCCTCGCAGGCTGTTCTATGGCGTCACGCCGTCGGTCTTGCTGAGCGGTGTGCCCTGTTTGGAGTCGACATGTAGCTGCGCTACGAACTTATATTGTTTCGAAGTATTCGCCTGCGTAATCTTTCCAGCACGTCGTTGCCTTATCATCTTTTGGTGTGTGGCAACCCGGAATTGCGTCCCGCCCCTCTGGTCCATACTTGATCCGACGTAAGCACCCACTGAAGGTGGAGGATGCGGATCGACTTTCGTAGTGCCGGTTGCAATATTGATGTAACAGCCGCCATCTCGGTGTGACTCTGCGGAAAGTAATGGCAAGAGATCGTGAGGTGATAGGTTGGCTCGTCTGAGGATCGCTTTGACCGAAGATGGGACGTAGGCCAAGACTCGCTGTGCGAGAATATCCGGATCGGAGTTGAAAAGAATGATGAAGGCCGAGACGCAAATGGGCTGGTCATTATCGAGCTCCTGGAACTGGGACCAGGCGATGTCACGACACCATGCAACGAGAAAATGGCAGAATTTGGTCACGACGGTGTCAAATCGGACGACAGAAACGATGGGCGACTCGTCTACCAATGGATTGTTGGTATCTAGGACATCGGTATTCTATGCTTGGTTAATCAAGTTGCTCTAGAAATCAGGCCAAGGGAGCGAGCGTCTGGAGTGTAAGCTGTTCGACCCAGCTTGAGGAAGCGAGCTCCCAAAATAACCTTGCCGCGCCTAATTCGAGGAAGCGGGCTTCCAAAGGATTGAACGTTTTAAATACACATTCCAACGTACCTCGTTTTCACATGGGATCAGCACACCATTCTCGTCAGCTCTCTGAACGTCGACGTCACGCTCGTATATCACGCCATCTTCGATATCGCTCAGGGTGGGTAATGGTTCGCTGGTCTCAACATCATCGTCACTTTCCGAGTCAGATCCCGGAGATGCCGTCTGAAAGTCATTGTCACTTTCAGGTTCAGATCCCGAGATCATGGAAGTGGGACGGATAACTGAGCTCCCATCCCGCCGTCCGGTTCGAGAGCGCCATTACATAATTTTGTCACTTTCTTGTCGAGTGGTGACGAAGAACGACCTGAGGATTTCTAGTAAGCAACTTATACGGTGGCAAGGTTGCTAGAACCCAAGATGCCTTGTACCAGAAGTAGAAGAAATAAACGAGAAACAAACAAATGAAACAAATCGAATAAGATGAAGCGAATAAAAGAACAAGAATAAGAAAAGAATAAGAAAAGAATAAGAAAAGAATAAGAAAAGAATAAGAAAAGAATAAGAAAAGAACAAGAAAAAAAAGAAATCTAGTAAAACTAAATGCAAACGAATAAAACACAAATAATTTCGCCTGGCTTTTAATAGATATTAATGTAATTACTTTTCGGCTTCTTTTATTTCTATACTTAGAGCTGTTTTTCTTTCTTTTCTTTCTTTTTTTCTTTTTACAAGGCTAGCCAGGCTCGCTACCTACCTAGGTACAGGGGGAAGGTATTAGAACTTGAACTGATACTTGTCTCATACCCCAACCTTCGTCAAATCGACTTTCGGAAAACAACGCCTTACACCAAACGGCCTACAACCTCTTCTTTAACCTCAAAATGGAAGTAATGGTAGTTGTTAATTAATATATCAATATAGCAACTAAGACTGTGCCCTACAACATTGACCAACACTCCGTACAACAGCTTGGTAGGTACATGTGTTGGATCTAGTCTGGACCACAAGGGAGGGACACGCATCCGGGTCAAAACACACAAGCGACAAATACCTACACAATCGGCATTCCGGGCTTCTCACCATCACCAACTCCAAACACTACAGATTCGCCGCACAGCCAGATGTCAACTCAGCACTTCTCCTAATTACAGCCGTACGTTTACAAGGTAACCGTGTTATCAACATTCTCAATATGGTAACTCTCACCTAGGTATATCGAACAGTCTGGAAACTTGAACTATATATACCCGTACTTCTTTTATTTTACTTGTTCTATCATTTCCTTTCTTTTTTGCTCGACTTCTCTTTTGCCCGACTTCTTACTTGATTTCTTCCTTTCCTTCAGAGTTCGGCTGTTTTCTGCCGTTTTCTGCCGCGGTGCTTCCCGCCGTTAATCGGTCTTCAAGCGTGACGTGCCCGCTCAAGAGCTTGTTTTTGGATTTCATAAATTATGATATTGTCTTACGTCCCACAATCGGGGATTGATGTCTTCAAACCCACAATCCTCCCACATGCCAATTGGCCTGCCGGGTTTGCCCGTCAGGGTCTTATCTTTGTGCGTCATCGCCGCAGCGCCAATTCCCTTATCTCTCCGCCCCTGTGAAATCGGAGACGGTGGTTCGCCAATACCATCAAGTAAGCATCGACAGAACCGTGACAGATATCCATCGCCCTGATTGCCGAGTTCCTCCGTTCGTGTATCGCCATCGCGGCGGGCACAACAGAACGCCGAGAACGCGTCCCACCACCACCTGAAAGGCTTGAAGTAAGAATGAACTGATTTTGAACCTTCAACCGGCCCTTCAACTGTCCGGGAGGGAGGGAGCTTGACTGAGGGAGACAGACCACTTCAATTGTCACCATTGCGGTCATGTTGCTTGACCAGGGTAGGGTAGCGTTCACTTCGCTCGTTTGTTTCCCTTATCTCTCGTCTGATAGCGTCGGCAGTGCGGTCGCTTTCCCACCCACCAACAACCTGCATGCCGATGGGGCTGGGGTGCATCCCAACGGCCCCAAAGACCCGTCCAGCTGGGTTCTTTCAATGGCCCCGGCGTCAAATCTCGCTCTTGCTAACCCCATTTGTGATGACGCAGCGGCGATAAGGCAGATTGCCACGCCTTCTACGTCGCATGCAGATGTTGGGATGTGGGGGCCGGTACATTGCGATAATATCCCCAGACCTTGTGCGTCTTGGGTGATGGAGGTGGGTAACAGCCGCCCGAGCAGCCCTGTCGAACGGTCGTGGTCGAGGAGCTGTTTTCCATGGTGGCCGGGGCTTACCCCCATGATTGGACCCCCCAATGGCGATAATGCAAGATAACTAGCCGGCTGCTGCTCTACTTCCGGTTGTCGGGGTCGTTGTTGAAGCTAGAGGCCGTAGGTAGTTGGTATATCACATCCGCAACTTCTCTTTCTCTCGCCCTAAGACAGCAGGGCTCCAGCCAGACGAACTCCGATCTTCGTATTGCCGGCACACCAAGCCGTCCTCGCACATATAAAATGGACCACGGTCCCTCAAACAAAGACCACATTGCCAACGCCGCTCTCGGCCAGGGGGTGGGCTATGGGATTGTGCTCGGGTTGGGGGGTGCGTTTGCGTTGGGTACGGTGACACAAACTTGGCCTCCTTGAGGGACCGTCGCCTTGAAGAATTGCCGGATACTAACAGAAATTCAGGCATGATACTCGTTACTTTCATTCTACGCCGGTACAACCGAGAGCTTCAGACATCTGAGATGTTTAACACGGCCGGCCGCACAGTCAAATCAGGCCTAGTCGCATCAGCTGTCGTCTCGTCATGGACATGGGCAGCTACGCTGCTCCAAAGTACCGGTGTCTGCTATCGGTATGGAGTGTCTGGTCCGTTTTGGTACGCGTCTGGTGCCACGGTCCAAATCCTCCTCTTCGCTACCCTGGCCATCGAGCTCAAGAGGCGCGCGCCCAACGCCCACACGTACCTCGAGATTATCAAGGCACGATACGGCACCTTCGCCCACATTGTGTTCCTCGTTTTTGGTTTGGCGACAAACATCTTGGTGTCTCTCATGTTGATCGTTGGTGGCTCAGCCACGGTCAACGCCTTGACTGGCATGCACACCATTGCTGCGAGTAAGTCATTTCCATTCCCACAGTTTCGACGCAAACAGCTGATAGCAGATGCAGTTTACCTTCTCCCTGTGGGTGTGGTGGCTTACACGATGGTCGGCGGTCTGAAAGCGACTATCTTGACCGACTGGGCCCACACATTCATCCTGCTTATCATTCTCATCGTCTTTTCGCTTACCGCCTATGCCTCGCACGACGTGTTGGGTTCCCCTGCCGCCGTTTATGATTTACTAGTACAGGCTGCCGCCCGTCACCCAGTCGAGGGAAACAAAGATGGTAGTTACCTCACGATGCAGTCCCGTGAGGGTGCCATTTTCTTCGTTATCAACATCGTCGGTATGTCCCCCCTCCCCGCCCCCCCTTTCCTCCCCAACCCCCCTTTCCTCCCCCAGTCCAGAACGTTCGTTGAGCTGATAAATGACAAATAACAGGCAACTTCGGTACGGTGTTTTTGGATAATGGCTACTATAACAAGGCGATCGCAGCGTCGCCGGTTCATGCTTTGCCTGGTTACATCTTGGGGGGTATTTGTTGGTTCGCTATCCCTTGGTTGACCGCCACGACGATGGGCCTGACAGCACTGGCCATGGAGAACACCCCCTGGTTCCCCACGTACCCCGACCGCATGGCCGACGCCGATGTGAGCGCTGGCCTCGTTCTCCCGTATGCCGCAGTTGCCCTCCTCGGCAAGGGGGGCGCCATCGGAACGCTCCTCATCGTTTTCATGGCTGTTACCAGCGCCACGTCGAGCCAGCTGATCGCCGTCAGCACAATCTGCACTTACGATCTGTACCGCACGTATTTCAACCCCTCGGCCAGCGGCAAGAGACTCATATACACGAGTCACGCTGTGGTTGTTGGTTACGGCCTCTTCATCGCTACCTTTTCCGTCGGGCTTTGGTATGCCGGCATCTCGATGGGCTATTTGTACTTGATGATGGGGGTAGTCATCTCCGCTGCGGTGCTGCCTGCAACTCTCACACTAGTTTGGTAAGGCTTAAACTAACACCTTTCTTCCTAATCTAAAAAGAGCACGCCCGTTGCTAACCTTGGAGCTAGGGCCGGCCAAAACAAGTGGGCGGCTTCCCTCTCGCCCATCCTCGGCCTTGCTTGTGCTCTTATCGCATGGCTCGTTACGGCCAAGAGGGAGTGTGGCAACTTGGGAGTGGTATGCACTGGCTCCAACAACCCGATGCTGGCAGGCAACGTTGCTGCCCTGCTCTCCCCCGTCGTTCTGGTTGCCATTTTTACGTTGATCTTCGGCATTGATAAGTACGACTGGAAGTCGATGATGGACATCCGGAGGGGTGACGACCATGAACTAACAGATGCTGCCGGCTTGAACGTCGAAGAAGTCCGCGGCGGGCACGCAGAGACCGGCGCCGAGTTCGAGGAAGAACAGAAAAAGTTGAAACGCGCAGGCAAGATCAGCAAGACCGCAACCGTTGTCATGGTGAGTCTAGCGGTGCCGACTTCCCCGCTTACGATGGGGATCCTAGTTAACACAACTCCTTCTAGACACTGGCATTTTTGGTCCTGTGGCCCATGCCGATGTACGGAACGGGTTATATTTTCAGCAAACCTTTTTTTACCGGCTGGGTTACCGTGGGCATCATCTGGATATTTTGCTCCTTTATTGGTGTCGGCCTCTTCCCCGTCTTCGAGAGCCGCAAGACGCTTGCTAGAACGGTCAAGAGCATTTATCTGGACATCACCGGAAAGTCGCACCCCAAGACACTCCACGCTCAAATAGTCCAGGGGCAGCAAACCCCAGGCGACGTCACGCCATCAGAAAAGTCCGGCGTCAAACAGGTGGTTGGACCAGCGTAATGTGGTAGTCGGAAATGCGCTTTCTTACACAGAGAAAACCAAGATGCGTCCAGCGGTTTTCTCGCGTTATTAGCGTGATGGGATTCCACATTACCGGTGTTTGGCCTCAGGATCTTGCCAGAGCGAGCTGAGATGTACTTGGTTATACCCCGATCCTATAGACTAGGTAGCTGCCACATAAATCATGCCCCCGGTCAAACGACCTGCGCAGCAACAGGGCTGAGACCCGGAAGACGCGCCGCAATGGGCTCAGGCTCTGCGCTGGGTTTGTCCTTGGCATAAAACTCGCCGTCAGCCCTCCCCCTCAGCTTCCTCAGGGCCCTGAACCCGCCCTTGATACTATGCGCCTCGTGTCCCTTGGCCCTGAGAACACTCGTGGCCACTCTCGCGCTGTCCCCATCATAGCAAAGAAGCAAGATCCGTCTGCCCTGAAACAGCTCCCGGAGTTCCGTGCTGGGCGCCTTGAATGTCTCCTCCAACCTCTCCCAGAGTGACTCGAGGACGCGAGGCTCAGAGAAGGGACTAGGCGTGTCCTCGTGCACGAAAGGCACGTTGACGGAGCCCGGCAGGTGGAAGTCGTGGAAATCGAGAGGCTGCCGGAAGTCGATGATGGAGGTCTGGGGCTGCGGCTTGACCTTGGACGTGACCGGGAATAGCGCGTCTGCCAGGATATCGTCCTGTGTGAAAAACAAGTCGAGAGCCGCGGCGGGTTCCTTTTCCCATTCGTCGTCGTACCTGTAAATGTCCACCTTGGCCAAGTGCTAGAAACCAAGTCAATTTCCTCCCGTCACCCAACCCTGACAACGGCGACCTCAGTACACGCACCTCGTTCTGGATCATGGGGAAGTACTCGGCCCCGAGCCTTTCAAAGTACTCGCTCATATACTGATACGGCAGGTCGCAGGACAGGAAGACACAGTGGACCTCGCCGTTCTCGCCAGCCAGCTCGGCCAGCGACCCGTCGGCTTTGCGCCTGGCGATGAACTTATAGAGACCCTTGAGGTTGAACCCGGACGACGGACCGCACACGAGGCCCTCGCGGCAGAGGCTCAGAGACAGCGCGAAGGAATCGTGCGAGCCGACCTCTTCGAGGTGGTCTACGGACGACTTCCAGGGGAATTGTACGGGAGCGAGGAGCGCGTGCGAGCGCGGGCCCGGAACGCGGTCGCCGGGTGCGGTGCATACTCTGTGATGCACGCGTGTGGTTAGTTCGTACCTTGCTCCCCTCGACGACCGACTTTAATAACATGACATGGACGTACCCGACACGGAAGACGGTAGGCTTGGCCTTTTTGAAGTACGTTCCCAAGCCCGTCATGGTCCCTTAGTAGCATGCCTTGGTTAGCAGATGCAGCAGTCTCGAGGGTATCTGAGAGCACCAATCCCTACCCGAGGTCCCCATTCCAGCGCATAGCACGTTGATCTCCGGTAGCTGGCGGAGGATTTGAGGGCCGGTCCACCGAATGTGCGACTTCCAGTTCTACCAATTCCATGTCTCAGCGTCAGCAGCCGTCGGGATGAAGCTCAGGTTGTTTGTTCTTCTGGGGAGCCAACGTCGTCGTTATTGTATTGATTGGGATTTATCTTGGAGTCGTCTTCCATGGCTTCCCTCTCGGCAGCCCGGATGCCCCCCCTCTCGTCGTGGGGTTCGGGTTGCGACGGACCGCCAAACAGCGTTCTGCATGTGCCCTCGGCGTCAGTTTAGACCGGCTTCAATCGAAAGAGGCAGGGGGCTATACATGTCAAGGCCGAAAAACTGCATCATGCGGAGCTTAGCCGGGGACGTCTTGTTGCTCAGGTACGCTCGCACATCAGCGAGATTGTAAAAGACGCGGGCGATCAGCGACATGGAAATCACTGTAGACCCCGAGCTGTACTCGATGACCGTCTTCGTCTTGCCCTTCTCGACACCGTTCTCGAGGAGATTCAGAGCTGGCATGGACTTAACATTGTTTGCCGGATGCATCGACATCATCTTTGCGTATATGCGGACGCCATCCCCGCGGTACGGGTTGAGGCGGTCGGGTATCTCCACCAGGGGTAGCGGCGGTGACGACTCTGGGTGAAAGTAGCTCCGGACGGAGTCGGGTCCCTTGTATACGTTCAGAGGATTCGACATGGCGTAAGACGGAGCTCTGCTGTGATCTGCCAGGCATGTATGTGTGAGAAGGTCATGCAACATGGCCGCGGTGGAAGCTTTTATAAAGGGGGCGAGTGCTCTAGGTACCAAGGTATCCACAACTGGACAGCATATGTACAATAGTTACATCTCAGGCCAAGGGTTCGTCGTACGGTCGTATTTGGCACGGCACCGAGAAAGGGGCAGCTGCCCATCCCTCCGGATAGATCCAGACCATGATCGGCAATTTCTTTGCACCATGACAGGTCTCGAGCCTATTGATCCTCCCGGGACCCAAGTCGACACTCGTCCGCCCCCACGCTAGCATCTTTGCCACTGAAGATCAGCTATGAGCCAGTGCGCATACATCTGTACCGATGTATTCGTATACCGCGGCGGTCATACCCCTTTTACCAGCACCAGGAGACGCCACCAGCTATCCTTGCCCATCAAATTCAGGACGACTACCTGACTTGGTGGTGAGGTGATCTGAGATCAACATCACCCCTCCCACACACACAGGTGGCTCTAATATTCCAGGACAGCGTAAAATTGCAGGAAACTAAACTATAATACAGCTACACTTCACCAAACTAATAATAATAAAGTATTAAATATTTGGGGCATCATTGATCTCTATGTTAAGACTCTATCTATGAATTTAGAATAACTACTTATCTACTAAGCAAAGAGAAATAAGTAGCTTTTTAAGTATTCTTCTAATTTGTTTTAGATTTAGGTATTTCTCGTGAAAGCTCGAGGTTAGTCGATATAGTTTTATATTACATCTCAATAATAGGGAGATAAAACCTAGTCTGAATGTAGTTATATAGAGATTAACGAAGCTATTATGGTAAATGTATAAATATCTCGTTAACATACTAGCAATGGTAGTATATTAGGTTCTTTAAAATGGTTGAGAGTATTGCTACTTAGATATTCTTCAGAATGAAAGGGGCTGGATAGGTAGGTAGCTTTCTCCCACACACACACAACACCACAAGACACTTCCACAACAAACTCACCCATCACGAGTCCCCCGAAATGCGCCGTGTATTTACCTCACTGCGGCATTTTTCGGTACAAAACAGGGGTGCGAACGTGGAATCTACACTATTCCATCACCCCACATCACTTTCGGTGGCCGATTAGGCTTTTGTTTTCCATGCCTTCGTTAATTTGAGCCCCTCAAGGTGCGGCAGTGCGGGTTGATCGGCGTGTCAACCATGCCTAGCATAAGCTTTTCCTAGCGTTGTAATGCCGATCCCTGGCCATCGAGGTGCCAGTCTACCCAGTCCCCCGTGGTGGTCGACCGCCAACCTAGAACCGGAACGTTCCCGAGTTCTCCAAGTCTAAAGCAGAGGAAGAGGGCCGCGTGGGATGGGTAGGGCGGTGTCCTCGACAGAGTTTTCGACACAAAACCTTTTCTTCTTGGTCAAGTTGATCGTGGGGGGCACCAAGGGATGCGGTGGCCATCAAGGGACTCACTGTTGCCGCTCGTCATTCCCTTAGCTAACAAGCCAAACAAGCCAAGCCTTTTGCGACGAGATTAATGCGTGGGACAAGGGAGTAGGGGCGGTGTAGCGACATATCGCGCTGCGCGACAAGGTTCACTCAGCAACTTGAAGCCGGGACTTGTGGGAACTCCGTCGTATTTGAAGGAGGGGGAGACAGGAATTCTCAACTGTGCGCCGTCCGAATGTTGCCACAACCGCGACCATGGACAAAGCCAACTTGAACACCCCCGATGGGGTCTTGGGGCCAGCGGAGAAGCCCAACGCGACGAGCAAGACCTCCAATGACACCACCGGGGCCCACGAGTTCAATGAGCAGACCAACTACGTCCCGAAGCGCACCATCATCACGGTATGTAGCCGTGCCTCTGGCCCGTCACACTCAAACGAGCACAAACTGAGGACGCAAGATCTTCCTCGCCTGCGCGGGCGTCGACCTTCTGGCGCTCATAGACCAGACCACGCTCGCGACCAGCCTGTACATCATCGGAAATGCCCTGGGGTCTACCTCACAGGTCTCGTGGATAGCCAACGGTTACTTCATGTAAGCCTCAGACTCCCTCGTCATCGCATTGCATGTGGCGCAACCCAATCCCACATGCACGTCCAAGTCCACGGCGCTAACCAGGCCCGTCACCGCACGGAAGAACCTCGACCGTGGGGCAGCTGCTTTACGGCCGGCTGTCGGACATTTGGTCGCGCAAGGTTATCCTCCTCGCCGGCCTCGCCGTCTTCTTCCTCGGATCCCTGGCTTCGTCGCTCGCCCAGTCGGTGCTGCAGCTGACCGTATTCCGCGCCTTCACCGGCATCGGCGGCGGCGGGCTGATGACGGTTGCCCAGCTCATCGTCAGCGATGTCGTGCCGCTGCGCGAGAGGGGCAAGTACCAGGGCATCATCGTGAGTTGTAATGTGCCTCGTCGACCGACCCGCGGCGTCTGATAATGACAATAATAATAACGATTAAAAAAAGGGCGCCGTGATAGCCATCGCCAACGGCATTGGCCCTGTGATTGGCGGTGCGCTGTCGTCTAGGTCGGGGGACTCGTGGCGATGGATCTTCCGCATCAACATGCCCCTAACTGTGGTTACCACCCTGGCCGTGGTTTTCTTCATGCCGCTGAGGAAGGTCCAGGGTGATTGGAAAATGCAAGTACCTTCCTTGCCTTGCCTTGCTTCTCGTAAGGGACGGGGTAGGGTAGGATCATGTATTGACCGATGCTCGCAGGAAGCTCAAGGCCGTGGATTTCGTCGGCATCCTACTGGCCTTGGCGGGCACCATTGTTCTGATGCTGGGCCTCACCTGGGGTGGAGGTGAATATCCGTGGGAGTCGGCTCATGTCGTCGCGACACTGGTTATCGGCCTCGTCGTATGCGCCGCCTTTGTATTGTGGCAATGGAAGGGTCCGCGGTACCCTCTTGTTCCCCGTGGGTTTCCCCCCCTGCCTTACCCCAACCACTTGGAGTGTATCCTGACATTCCAGCCGGCAGTACACATTTTCAAGTCCAGGATCGTGAACGGGGCTTGCATCACAATGGCAATCAACGGCTGGAACTTTGTCGTGCAGGTCTACTACATCCCCTCCTTCTATCAACTAGTGTACGAGTACTCTGCCACGAGGGCCGGCGCCATGCTGCTGCCCATCACGCTGGTCCAGACAGCAAGCAGCACCCTGTCCGGCCTTGTCGTCCACTGGGTCGGCCGCTACCGCGAGTCCATCCTCTTCGGATGGGTCTGCTGGGCCGTCGGCCTGGGCTTGATGTCGACGCTTGACGAGACCACGGGCGTTGGGAAACAGATCGGGTACTCGATCCTCATTGGAGTGGGCGTTGGCAACACGTTGCAGCCGTGAGTCTATGCCTGGCCCCGCGTGCTCACTCCCGGGTGGCTTGTACTCTGACATTTAGCAAAAGTGCTTTGATAGCCGTCCAAGCGGGCGTGGTTAGACGTGACATGGCTGTCGTCACCTCGTTCCGAAAGTAAGTTTGTGGCTGAGCTACGCCGACACCCCTTGAGGTACCTTTGCTTACTAGTTCATGCAGCTTCGTCAGAAACCTTGGCGCCACCATTGGCCTGGCCGTTTGTGGGACTATTATGTGAGTGATACTTCGTGTCGTCACGGTGTAGGCCTAGAGTGCTCATCTGGTCATGTAGCAATAATGTCCTGGTTGCATCTCTGCGGTCTCTCGACATCGACCATGACGCACGCAAGACTCTCCTGGGCAACCCACAGACGTATCTAGACACCGTCTCCGAGGTGGAGGCCGACAGAATCCGTCGTGTCCTCATCCCCGCGTACCGAAAAGGGTTCCGCATCATATTCATAACTGGTGCAGCCCTTTGCGCACTGGCTTTTGTCATTTCCTTTTTCATGCTGCCTCAAGTCGAATTGTCCCGCCCAGATGATGAAAAGCTCAGGGAGGAGGGCCGCAAGGCGCATGAGGATAAGGAGCGGCAGCATGTAGCATAGACCATAGCCTCGACGGTTTCGCCTGCTTTACGGTCCAGGGCTTGGAAGCAGACATGGAGGCTCCGACGTGGCTATAGCACGTGCGAGATTCCCATCACTCAATACATGTAGCGGGGGGATTCAGGGTAAATGGCGTGTTCCGCGAAACGACGGCTAACGGGCCGCAAGGAATTTGAGGCTGATGTCAAGGTCCCATATTGGAGAAGACCGAAGGCTCCCTGCTTCCGTCTCCGCTCAGTGATAGTCTGTTAGCAAGGGGCGAGGGCCATTTGTTGAGATTGTCGCTCCACCCGCAGAGACAGAGAGATGGGGAATAAGCATTCCCGGGGACTTGGCTCGTGTTGACAGAGGTCCCCGTCTGTGGTCCCCAATCAAGGCGGACTGGGTCGTTGCGGCCTTTGTCACGGTGAGGGCAGCTGGAATGAGAGACGCTTGCTCCGGGGCACTTGCCGGATCGGGTGCTTGAAAGCGGAGAGCCTCGGAAACAGGCCCTTCCAGAACTGGTGAGAAAAGGTGAGTGTCCAGATAAGCTTGTGCAGTTGTGACACCGGACGGCGTGGCCGTTGGCGGCTGAGACCAGAGGGCTTCTCTGATCCCAAAGTTGGGAAAGTCACCCATGCTTCGCCGCAGGAGCAAGCGGTCTCAAGGATCCTTCCGGCTGACGAGCGGCACCAGCAATGTCCCAATGCGGGCATATTCAACATGTTTCGACGGGGCATACACCAACTTGTGCAGTACTTCGGCGGTCGGTTCCCTCACTCGCGGTTTCCAAACACTTGGCCATTCATCGGCCGGCGAAGTCCGGCCTTGCTGTACGGTATGCAGCACGGGATCCAGAATACCTGCCCTTTAAGTTGGGGGCATTAACTCTCCGCTTCGTATAATCCAGTTGAACTTGGCTATTCTCGCCAAGAGCCCTTCGCGCGCTTATGAGCTTGGCACTTCCCTCCCCAGCAAGTGGCCCATCGAGGGGCAGCGACTCTGCGAGTGACATGATGGTGACAATGGTCTGTCACAGCTCGGGCTTCCACAATACATACGAAGTACCTACCTCCCTAGGTACCAGTTATCCTGCTTGCCCGCCTCTACGGGGCAATTATGGCCCCCCGCCCCCTTCCACCACCGCGTTACTTTTATTGATCAAGGTTGGTCGTCGCGTGGAAAGGAGTTCCTCGTCGCCGGAAATGCCCAGCAACCGGGTATAGGGTCTGGCTTCCAACAACGGGTATATCTCCGCCCAATTCCAATGGCGGCGCGGTGATGACCACGGGGATTCTCCAGGTTAAGCGTGAGACGTGCCTTTCCCGGCAGGGGTAACGAGTGGGAGACCCGTTTCCAGCTTCAGCCCTATTCTCGCCCCCACACGTCTTACCTCAGTTCACGAACGGAAACCGCCAGCTTGGAAGGTGACATGCCACACAGACGCCACCCCCTAGATTTAAGGTTCGCCTTTGGACGGCGGTCTATATATGGCCGATACTCATGCCTTTCTTTCATGTGCAAGAACCTCCAACGTCGTCTTTCGGATTTGACCGTGCCGGTTTCTCGAGGAAACGGAGCCGCCACTATTTCGACCCTCGTGCGTCTGAAGTCCGCCTTGGTACCATAAACCACCTTGGTCTTTCACACAAATACCTACTTTCACCGTGTAACCGGTACGATGAGAGTCAAACCCATTCAGACCACCAAATGGGGTACCGCCTGTGCTCAGTGCGCGACAGCCAAGGCGAAGTGTTCCGGCCGATTAAACAACTCTAGTTCTAAGTGCGACAGGTATGAAAATTCGGGTGTTATCTACCTAGCCGACGAGCTCGTACCGTTGGTCGATAGTTTGATATTGCGGCTGATATCGCCAAACCTAGATACCAGCGCTTGTTGAAGCAATGCACCGATCAGGTTCACAAACCAAGGAAGACTCGACATCTTAGGCCGTCGCAGTAAGCCCCAAGTGTTCGGTTGATGTGTTGATGCACACGCTAACATAGACACAAGGAGCATGGACACCGGAAGTTCTTCCTTCGAGTTCCACTCGTTGGTTTCTACCCCAGAATATGGATCTCCCCAGATGACTGGTGATACGGCGCGGGAGTCACCATCTTTCGGCAACCGATTCTCAGGATCCTTGGACGATCCAGAGGTTTTCGATACCACGTCACCACCAAACCGGCAACCAACCGTCTGTTTCGCTGTTAGCACTGACGCCTGGGCCGTAAGCCCAAACCAGCGGTCGCCCTTGAGCCAGTCTCGAGGGGTGTTTCTTCGGGGCGGGGACCACATAGACGAGGTTCTTCTATCCAAATACCGCGCTGAGTTGATGCCACAACATCCGTTCGTTGTCATTCCCGAACATGTTTCAGCTACGGTGCTGAACAACCACCGTCCAGTCCTCATGATGTGCATCCGGGTCATTGCGAGCTTTGACAGCCTACAGACTATGCATGCCCGGATGCAAGGAGTCACGAGGCACATAGTCGACAAACTGGTTCGTCAGTCCGAACGCACTCTGGACCTGCTCATGGGCATTGTCGTGATCCTTGGCTGGCATCACTATCACTGCGCAAAACACAGTCATATGAACACCTTGTTGTGTCTGGCTGAGTCGCTTGTTTCCGACCTTGGTCTAAATAAGAAGCTCTCTGAAAGCGATGAAGTAGGGGATGAGTGGGGGATCGAAGGCCAAAGGCTGTTGCTTGGGGTATGGTATTTGCGGTCATCGTACGTTCCAGTGGTCGCTACCTCTTCTTTTTAATAAGATCAATCGTTGACGGCAAAAGCAGAGCGGTCATGCATCTTCAACAACTTACACCGATCCCCTTCACTTTGCACCTCCGACAGTGCCTCGCCAATATACAAAACGCCAAAGAACACGACTTGGATGAAGCCCTTGTCTATTACGTTAAGATTCAGTACTTGGCTGAACGAGTCACTGCCCTCAAGGACCCTCGGCCGGGAAGGGCTAATCGTGGAAACGGCGGAGTGGGCCTGGAGGGATTCGAGCACGATAAAGGAATCCAGGAGAGAGAGGCGGTGATGGCTGGGTGCCAGGCTTACTTGGATAAGCTAAGAAGAGAGGTGCCCGGTAGCCTCAAGGATGACGGTAAGCTCCTTTGAATAACCAGGTTGGAGGGGAACCGAGGGTAGAACTGACAGGAACAGGTACGGTTGCTATGCAGCTCAACACAATTGACGTGCGCATATTCGAGTCCCGACTCGGAGGGAATGGAGGGATACAAACCGAGCATACCGCACTCGAAAGATGGTCACAAGCCTGGATTTCGGGCCTCCCAATTGGGAGATACCGCACTTTGCCGTCGCATGCTGTCTTTCAATTATTATACGCCGTACGAGTCTTGATTCGGAGCCAAGGAGACGCGCAAAGGTACGTCGGGGGTTCATCCCTGGCCTCGAAGTTCTCGACGTTCGCATCGTGCTCGGCTCCGCCGAGCCCAGGTGCATTCCGAGCAGTCCGCGAGAGCGGACCCAATCCGTTCGAAGACGAAATGGCGGTAATGAATGGATTAGTCGCCATGGACGCCAGCCCTTCCGACATCGCCAAATTTTGGGTGGCGTTAGGAGAGGCGAACGAAGACAAGTCCACCCAAGGACCCCAAGTTCCGCGGCACTCTTCGTTGCCGAGTAACTTGTGGGGCCCGGGTGACGATGGCTTCGACGAGATGATAATTGATGGAACCCAAGGGACACGGCCTGCCGCCATCGATACGTTCAGCACACTGCAGGTACAAGGGGCTCAAAGGATACATACCTCCAACATGTTCATTCCGTCGTCAAGGGGTGATTTGGCCCCCTTGGGACAGCGGGAGTACACCAGTGGTGCACTGCTGCCGCCCCTCCCAATGGCCACCACCCCCGGGACATCGCACATGCTACCGACAAACCCTATCCCGTGGACAGGAGAGGAGACATGGAATCACCGCGCCCCAATATGGGGGCCTTCTGGTGCTGCTTTGAGCATCCGAGACGTGAACCATGCGGACGTAGTTCAGCAACGATGGAACGAAGACCAAAGCAACCCACCTTACAGCTGGGAAGACCGTATATAATTCTACAGGCAGCTTCTCCCCACGCTCATAACACGATCCTCGCAGCTTAGATATTAGGGACTTTTATAACTGGAGATAGTTTACATAAATTCCTCTTCTTGCTTCCTTCGTATCTCGATAGCGGTGTGTGTGGTGTGGTTGGGCCCCCGCAGCGAGGATGTACAAACAAATAAATAGATGCAGGTTACTATGCGTCAACGTTGGGCTTTTTCCACAACATAGGGTAGTGTGGCGTGGTGCCCAGTGCAGCCGGTCTGCCTACGTCGAGAAAGCCAAACGAGCGGTACAAGCCCCTGCCTTCAGCAGTGGCGACGAGGAACGCATCTTTACCAGCCTTCGCCACTAGGTCAAGCCCATGTTGCAGGAGCATCTTGCCGATCCCACGGCGCTGATGCGCGGGATCGATAGCGAGACACATCAGATCTAATGCCGGGATTACTGGTCAACTCGGCTTCGAAATCAAGCGGTTGGTTTCACAGCTGGTAGACTTACACCACATATTGCTGTGTCCACTCGGCCCGAGTGCGACCGTCGTCATCTCATCAATCGCCTCAAACATCTCTCGCAACATCTTCTCGTCGAGGGACGGGGGGAATGGGTCTTGTTGTTCGTTGGCAGAACTGCCGGTTACCGATGGTGTTGTCTGTGAAGGCAATTCCCACTGAGCGAAACCCACCACCTGCGCATCGCCATCTCCACCATCTTCCGAAACCTCCACGACTACATATGTCGGTTTGCCCTCTCTCATTCTCCTAATGTTTCTCGCAGCTCTCCATTGCACCTCGTCGAGCCTAGGATCGCCTGTTTCAGATTTGGAGTGCAAGTGAGCGGGAAACAAGGCCGCAGAAATAGAGTCTTGAAACGCGGCTTGTCCGACGCGGCCAATGCTGGCACTATCATCTTCTCCGGCGGGACGGAGGGAAAGAGGCATTGCAAAGGGTGACGTGCGCGGTAAATCGGACCAAGTAGGAGAACAGAGCGAAGGGCGAAATATGGTCGGATAATGTTTCGTGAAGTAAATAGTTCGTAGCAAGAACCGCGGTTCGACCTCGTTAGAGGCGTGTATAATGACTACCCCGTAGCCTGGACTTCGGCGGCCCGTCTCTCTCAACATGGACAACGGCAGTGAGTCATTCGGCATCAGGGAACGTGACACACACACATACGTAAGATTCAAGAATCAGTGCCCGCTACCGCTCGAATTGGAAGGTGAAAAGCCTCCACCGGGAATGTTTATTGGCCGCCGAATCCCCTCGATCCACTCGTCATCCGGACGAGCGATGGCTGTCTATATACAGATCATTACAGCATCAATGCTGTGAATTGGTTGATAAAGGTCCTGATGAGGAACAAGATAATAACGTAACATTCGGGGTATGTCGGGCCTGTAGCTGCTGTCGGTATTCTCTAAGCTACATCCCGCAGTACTATAAGTTCTGTAGGTTCTGTGTAGGAAATGAATGTGGAATAAGGTAGTCTTGACAAAGTTCGATTAACGAAGTAACAATGCCGCTGCCATCAATTGGCTCCTCTGGATGTACTGAGTGAGTGGGTTACTACGTAGCGATACATTAACCCGCCGTTCTTTTCTCTTGTTTACTAGTGGATGTGCGTATAAGACAATCAAGAGTAGCTTCTATGTGATACTTACTGATTCGAAAGGTGAGCCCTTTTGTCCGCCCAACACACTTATTGGAATCTTTTAAGACGAATAGGATGTTGACTGCACGATGTGAGAATGGTGGAAGGAAGTAAAATAGGTACCTACCTACATTCCAATATTGTTAAACACGTTTGGAAACAAAAAAAAATTGGGTTTGCCGCAGTTTTGGCACAATCAACACTGTCAGGGGCATACGTCTACAGGTGAGTATCAGCGCCATCTGTTGTGGTTTTCGACTTTTCCCGTCAGATCCCGAAATCCCGAAATATGTGCGAGCGACAAAGTTGGGAGGTGTGCTCAAATGTGGACGACTATGTCGATTGCGTCGAATGAATCAGACTAAATTTGAGCGAAAAGGTTCTCAGACCGGACGGCGAACCTGGCAAAAAAAATGTCTTCTGCCATTCAAAGCAAACCAAAAACCAAACAAGGCAGAGATGAAGTGAGAAGAAAGGGGTTCAGGGGCTGGCCTACCCTAACCCTCGGGCTTCAGGCTAAACCGAGTGGACACATCTTGGAGCAGGCCGGATTTTTGGATTAAATTGTGGTCTCTGACGCATCGTTCAAGGTCGCCAGGGAAATATCTCAACAGCAAACCACCGGTATCAACACCAGCATTTCAACAATGTCAAAAGATCAGATCCTCACGCTGTCCTGCCCGGATAAGCCTGGCATTGTGCACGCCGTGACGGGCATCTTCGCCCGCGAGCAGCACAATATTCTGGACTTGCAGCAGTTCTCTGACCCGACGAGCGAAAAATTCTTCATGAGGGTGCACTTTGGCCCGAGTCCTAAGTCTGCGGCATCGACCGAGCATTTACGCCCTATTTTTGACACGCTGGCGGAGGAGTACAAGATGGCGTATAAGATCAGGCCTGTCGCTCAGAAGCTGCGGGTGCTCATCATGGTGTCCAAGATCGGGCATTGCCTCAACGACCTCCTCTTCCGCGCCAAGGCGGGCCAGCTCCCCATCGAGATCCCTCTGATCGTATCCAATCATGCCGAGTTCGCCCCCCTGGCGTCGAGCTACGGGATCGAGTTTCACCATCTCCCCGTCACACGTGAGACCAAGGCGGACCAAGAAAAGCAAATCCTCGACCTCATCAGGCAGCACGATATCGAGCTCGTCGTCCTGGCGCGGTACATGCAGGTACTCAGTCCGACGCTCTGCGAAGCCATGTCCGGCCGCATTATCAACATCCACCACAGCTTCCTGCCCTCTTTCAAGGGCGCCAAGCCGTACCACCAGGCCTACGACCGCGGCGTCAAGATTATCGGCGCTACGGCACACTTTGTCACAGCTGACTTGGACGAGGGCCCCATCATCGAGCAGCGGGTCGCCCGCGTCGATCACAGCATCAACCCCAACGCGTTGGTCGATGAAGGCTCCAACATCGAGAGCCAGGTTCTTGCTGCTGCAGTTAAATGGTATGCGGAAGGCCGCGTTTTCCTGAACGGCACCAAGACGGTTGTGTTCTAAGAGCAGGAAGGGGTGGGAGTAACGGCGTGGGTACGGAGATATGTACAAAATACATAGCGAGGTACTCGGGGGCTGAATTGAAAATAAATGCCCATATTGACCTTGGTCCACATGTGCTGCTGTTATGTAAGAGGTCGTTAGCATCGAACTCCTCCTCTACGAAGTAGACTTTTAGAGTTACCCCGGTATCGAGGAGCCAATGATTCTAGATCTTCGGTCGTTGTCCCCAACGGAACTGCAGGACGCGAAAGTCAGGAGAGAATTGTCTGCGTTTTGGGACAGGCGAGCGAGGACGGGACAATGCTCTTCTTTTCTCCAATTGTGTTACTTGTCCCCCCCCCCCCCCCCCAATGCAGGAAACGTCGAGCACGGCCCCGTCTACGTAGTAACTTTTTGCTTAGAATCGATAGCCAGGTAAGGTAGTTGGGCAAGGCCGGAGCTTAATGTTCCTTCGGGGATGAGAACTGCTGCTGTTAAATTCGGGAGACTTCAATCCTTCCAGGTTTCGGACAAAGCCTGACTGTATTCGTCCGCGTGTGCCTTTTTCCCCACGTGCCTCTAGACCCAAATTAACCTCGCCCGATTTCCGGACATGATGCTCCGAAGGGCACAGGGGTCAGGGATCTCGCAGGGGTTGATGACATCACCGTTGTGGTGGCCGGAACCCCTAACCCTCGGTAGGTCAGAAGGAAAGCGGAAGATACAGTGTCGATGCGTGATGAAAACCAACCGCCTGTGCCGTTTCGAGAACCCCTCCATCCCTTCGTCGCCGCTCCGACATCATCTGCACCGAAACAACACCCGCAATTGGAACAAAAGGAGTTTGCCCTAGATGGACCGAGTCTCGCATTAGTCCCGACCATCAATCGTGCGCGCCACCAGGACGCATTACCCAGGCTCGCGTCCGGGTGCCCAGTTCTGCAATGGTGCACGCAACCCACGCAACCCACGCCGCAGCGAGTGCCGCACCGACAAACACATCGCGACCGAATCTCTCTCGGACACGCCGTTCTCGCGCGTCGGGCTCCTTCCACGCCGGAGAGCCGTTCCCGTTACCATCGCCGTATGACGAATCCGTCCCCAGCGGTAGTCGAACTCGAAAACGTTCCGCCGCAGAACCTCGCCACCTGCTTCGTCGCCAGTCGACAGCCAAGTACCACACTTTTCCGACCCCGCCGCCCGACGCCCCTTCTGATGGTCAGCGCTCGCCCGGAGAACCACGCGCCTGGTACAAACGCCTTTTCCGGCCCTTCGACGACGTCTCCAACCTTGAGCATGACGCAGGCGATCTCGATGGCCTACCACGCGACGCGCCGGACGCCAGGGAGGATGGTCACGGTGGACGGGGGAGCGAGGGTAGCAGATTTCAACGGAGAGATTGAAGACGGATACATCACTCCATTGCCCTGGGCGCAATTGAGCCTTCTCGCGCTACTCTCGCTCGCTGAGCAAACCGCGCTGAACTCGATTGGCCCCTACCTGCCAACTATGGTGGCCTCATTCGACGAGATCCCGGACGGTGATGTGGGCTTATACGTCGGGCTTCTCGCCTCTGCCTTTGCCCTGGCTCAGCTGGCCACGAATCTCTTGTGGGGCTATCTGTCGGACCGTGTGGGACGCAAGCCGACCATGCTGGTGGGCACTTTTTTGCTGATGGGCTGCTTCGTTGGCTTTGGCTTCTGCACCACATATGTGCAGCTGATCATGGTACATGTTGCCATGGGTCTCCTAAACGGAAATGCAGCCATCGTGCCGACATGCCTGGGCGAAATCACAGATCGCACAAACCAAAGCAGCGCATTCACTTGGCTACCCGTCATCTACAGCCTCGGGAGCATCACAGGTCCTGCCTTGGGTGGCTTGTTGGTGGGAATTTCCGGACAAACCAAGTACCCGTTTCTAGCTCCCAATATTGTGGATGCCGCCCTTCTGCTCTCCAGCGTCGTGGTGCTGGCCATTTGGTTCGATGAGACTCTTGGTTCTCTCGACCGTGCCGCCGCTGGTCCGAGCTCGGACTGGTTCAAGCAGACACGCAACTGGTGCGCAGCACACTGGAACTCAAAATCGAACAAACTGCGAGGGCAAGGGAGACGGCCGTCAGGGTCAATGGGCATCGTGTCAGGAGGGTTGGACGGCCGCCCGGACCATGAGGATGAGGCGTCCGATTTCGACGGCGAACAACAGGGGCTCCTTTCGCCCCAAGGCGGTCGGGGCGGTGACGGTGACAACAAGGGCGCTGAGGGACAGGACTCGGCCTTTCGCGAACTTCGCAACCGGAACACATTGGCCGTGTTAGGGACGTATCTTGTCTTCCAACTCGCAAACATTTCCTTCAACTCGCTATACCCCATATTTGCTTCCTCTCCGGCACCTACAGGTCGCGAGCTTGGACCCGGCATAATCGGGGTTAGCCTCTCGTTGGCCGGTTTGGCCACTATTCTCTTCCAGCTCTTTGTGTTTCAGAGACTCAAAACGCGAATCGGAAACCTCGGCACTTACCGGTACTCGTTGCTCGGCATGGCCATCAGCATGGCGCTTATGCCCTGGGTCAACCATCTCGGCAATGAGCCAATACTTGGGCTAGGAACGGGCAAGATCTGGCTGTACGGCGAGTTGGGAGTCATTTTAGTGCTCAAGAATATTTGCGCCGTTGGGGGGCTCAGCAGCGTCATGTTGTTGGTAAGTTCTGACCGCTCCCAGTCAACCATGTCGAGGGCGGAGGCTAACCGCTGAGTAGATCACCAATTCTGCACCCTCACACGAAACATTGGGCACGCTCAACGGCATCGCCCAGACCCTCTCGGCGGCCGGCCGCAGTATCGGGCCGTTTTTGTCGGGGGGGCTCTTTACTTTGTCAACACGAGTGAGGCCGAAGGGGGAGCTGCTTGCTTGGGGTCTCTTCGCCGGCGTCACACTCTTTGGGTGGCTTGGTTCCTTAGCTATCCGGAACAAGGGGCTTGAGGGCGCCGAATGGCCAGACAGCGATGACGACATTGGAACTGACGGGCCGGGAGACGATGAGCAGCGTATCGGTTCATAGCGCTATCATGACCGAGATTCGTGTCCACACCGCGGGCCTCACAGCGAGTTGAGTCTGGGGTTTTGGAGGGCGCAGATGCATAGAGATCGTGGATACGAATGACCCCCGCCGCGTGGTACTCAAACATACAGTCGTACACGCGTGTGGGGCCTGGCCGGGTGCGGGTCCCCCTTCACACGCGAGTAAACTTCCTTGTCGACATCATGCAACTCGCCTGTGGGGAGATGGGAGAGGCGCCGGCGTGGCCGGGGACCTGAGCGACTATGCTAGTATCGTGATTTCGGACTCCCTTAGAAACTAACCTGATACGGACGCCTTTGATAATATGCGGGGCGATGTCGTTGTCCTCTGTCGCCATTGCAAGGAGCTGGGTTATCCAGTCCTGCTGCAATCGCTGGAAATGTTCGATTTATTGCTAGTCTCGGGCGATACACCTCGGCGGAAGAGCACGGTTGTTTAACATTGAACGTCGTTTGAGTAATTAGAGTAGAGCTACAATGGTGTCGCGAACTTTCTGATACAGTCCAAACAAAGACGCCCCGGACAGGTGGCATCCCATCTCACTTGCTCTGTTTACCGTGCTATGGCCGTCTTTCACGGGCCCTCAGGGAAGATTTCAGGGGACTCTAGATTGCTAGCGGCTTCTTGTATATAATAGCACACAGGTCGAGAGCCCACGCAAGGTAGCTACAAACAACATGTGAAATTGTCTGTGACATGATGCCCACTTGCTTGTCCAAACCGACGCCCAGCGGATCCCCTCTCCCAAGAAATGTATCGCTCAGCAGCAGGCCTTCTGTCCGCAAGTGTCGTAGCAACCCGTGTTGCAGTAGCAGATCTGCGGGTTGGCCTCAGGAGCGGCGTTCGGGTTCGGCAGAGCCATAGCGCTCGTGAGCAGCAGAGCGACCGCGGTGAAGATGGTGGCGCACTTCATTGTGATCTAGAAGATGTCAGCGAATGAATTAATAGCTCCATGCGGCGAACGTACAGGCTTGGGATACGAGTGATCTGAATGACAATAGAGTCTTTGGAGAAATTGAAGATTATATCAACGTGAAGAGAGTGATGATAAAGAGAAGGGAAAAAACACTTGGTAACGGCTGCGGGATGATACTTTATATATTGATATGCTGGGCTTTACGGCCCTCTGGCCGGAACTTCCGACACCGGCATCCGTCCACAACATCCCTCACAAGCCATCCACCTTGTCACAGCCAAGACGAATCGTCGTACATTTCGATACTAGTTTGTTGTTAGTGTAGAACGCTCGACAGGGATCCCAGTCCGAGATGCAAAAAGACCGAGCTTCACAGCCTCGACATCGCTTTCGAGGCAAGAAAATAAAAGATTCATGTTCTGCTCAAGAAGTTTCTTTTCGTTCATATACCCCTCCGCTGTGAAATGCGTTGTTTCGCCATTGTGTTTCTTTTGACCGTGACCTTACCTACTACCTACGTTACCAGGGTCGTCTTACAGACAGACACTCTTAACTAAGACACAAGACCATCAGACCATAGAGACAGTGGCGACTCTCGCGGTGTGACATTCGGATAACTGAAAGGATTCGAAGGATTCACACTACTTGCGGAGAAAACTCTAAACGTCAGGACGATTTCCAAGGAAATGCGAGTCCGATACCTCGCACCTGGTGATACAGCCGTGTAACTTAGCCGGTATAGCCAATCAGACACACAACCCATGACCAGAAATGAATTTACGGAGTGAGAGGGTCCGGTTGTGCGTGACCATTCGGCTCGCCCTCTCTCTGGATGTTTTCCAAAGCGCTACTTGATTGTTTGCTCCCTCCTTTGACTTTACTTCGGAAGACATATTGAAGAGTGGCCGAACAACACAACGAAAAGCTCCAACATCGCGCCTGAAGAATTGAATGAACTCTGTTGCCTAAATGTCTCGGTGTGATTTTGGAAGTAAGCTAAACTTGGGGCTAGCCACAGTAGAACAAAAGTGGTTCAGAAAGACGTGGAAAGATGTCACGTCCCTTAGCAAGTAATGTAAAATCAGGTACCTAATCGTCGATGAGCTTCACAATTTGCGGAGTGAAGCACCTAATGTTATAGCCCAAGTTGAATCCATCCTTACACAACTACCTTACCTAGGTACCTACCTAACTATTAGCCGGACATCTACCTACTTAGGAACGTTTTTCCGAAACGTCTCTCATAACGTCGATAATGTCTGGAGCGCCTCGCGCCGCAATTGGACATCTAGAACAAATAGCAAGGTTATCGACTTCGCAATGAGCAAATAAATTCCCCTCGTTGGTTACAGATCTGGCTCAGTTATCGTGGGCCTAATTACCCACTGGGTAAGCGGACATAGTAACACCATCAAGTCTGAGTTCAGGTATAGAAACAGACGGTTCCTTAATTAGCTCGTAACAGTCGGCAATAGGAGAGACCCTACTGCATCTAGCGGCTAGAATGTGTGGTTCAGCGACGATTTGCAAGGTTTGTAGTAACGTCCTCCGCAGTGCCTACCGTAATGACGAACCTGACAGCAACCAGGCTTTAATGGAGGGATGATAAGGCCGGTAGTCCCGGCTCCAACAACCAGTAGCCCAAAGTCGAAAGATACGTACCTAGGTACCTGTAGTGTTACGTCACCGATCAGCCCGATGTGATCATTCACACTCCCTAAAGCTACGATGGACAAGGTAACCTAGGTATTAGCTTTGACTCATGAGGCGCTCGTTTAAAATGCCCCCTTTCTGCTAATTCATCCATACCGCCGCCTATCAACCAAGCGCCTAAGTTACCCAGGCTGTTCAACATGACTTCAAGCTGCCCTCAATGCGGCACCCCTCTCAACATCATGACAGCTGCTGTTGGGAAGGTCACGGCAAGTAGAACGGCCCCTGCCTTGGAGCCCCGCGACTCCGAACATCCCAGCAACGACCGCCAGGACTCTCCTGATTTGGACTTTGGCAGAGATCATCTAGACTCCGTCAAAGACGATCCGGACACCAAAAGAAATAATCTAGACTTTAGCCAGGAAGACCTTCGGGGGCTCAAGAGGCTCATCTGCCCCTGTCCGTGCTTTGGAGGCGGTGGAGGCCCAAAACAACTCACCTTGCGCCCATACCTGTGTGTGGGCGCCGTCGGAGTCGTGAAGGCTGGCCGCCCACGCGAGACTCTGGACCGGACGACGATCAAAATGCAGGCTGCCATTCGCCGCGTAGGGGCTTCCCCGGCCGACAGCCTCCTCGCGTCCAGGCGCGTCGCTAGGAGCGAGAAGAACTGGAAGAGGCCTGCTAGGACGGAAAATGTCTTTCAGGCTATCGGCGCCATCATCTACGACATGGAATGGATGAGTGACGATGGCGAGCTCGAAGTTAGCAACGCCGACATCTTGGCGGATGCTACGAATACCATCAGTCCAAACTTTGAGCTGCGGCCTGGTCATCTTGGATCCTCCCCTATGATTGAGCTTATGCTTCTTATTGATTACGGGTTTCTAGCTAAGCTACTTTTCGGATCTATGAGTCTCGGTTAGTCTCTCTCACTCTCTTGCTCTCCTGTAGACTGTGGTTGAGCTCATGCTTCTGATAGATGACCCACCCTTTGGATCAACGCGTTCGCTTCTAGAGTTTTGTTTTGCACGCTTCAAACGGGATGCTGTATGGAGTTTCGAGAGGTTTTCTAGCTTTCTCACCGCTACTGCATGGCGTTGGAAACAAGGACACGCTATTCTGGATGAGAGGGCATGGGACTTGACCGTCGATATGCTAGAGAGAGGTGGACTCTGGATGCACGAATACCATGTTTGGGATGCCGCCACAATGCTGTACTACTACCACACTCGTCGAAAGCCAGTTAGCGCCGAGGCCTGGAGGCAAGGGTGCACGGGATATACCGGGATTCTCCAAGAGATGATCGCCGAAGTTCCCACCAGGGGAACAGATCGGTTACAGCGCAAGTTGTCACTCGACGTCAATTGGTTTCTCCCGAAGTTCGTCGGGAATTGGCACCGTCGGGCGCAGATGACGTCCATTGCGCAGGATCTAGCGAACCGATACGGCTTCCAGCTCACGCTCCCCGGCCCGCCGCCCCCCGAAACTCTGAGCTGGCGGGAATGGTTAGACTCTCTACTTAGCTTCGCACAAGCCCGACGAAGGCCTGAAGATGAAGAGAGCCAGGGAGAGAAAGAGAAGTTGATCGAAGGGCGGGAAAAGGAAGAGCAGTGATCAGGGCCCGTAGGTGTGCGTCAAGGCCCAGAGAAAATATCGATATAGTGGCCCGGAGCGCGTATAACGGAGCAGGAAAGCCGACGGCGACCAACGAGAAGCATAGCGATGAGTTTAGCACTCTAAGCGAGCTTGCTCCTCATCTACTCTCGATGGAACGAGTCAACAAAACCAGAGACCGACAAATGATATTCTTCCCACGGTTATTAGTTTTGGGGGAAGATGCTTTGCGCGGCTCGGCGTTTTCTCGACGCTCCTAGACTTCTCCATCAAGGTGGACATACAACCTAATTACACAGTATTAATGCAACAATATAGTTTAGATGATCAGTCAAGGTACCACTAGCCTGGTCGTTCCCATTGTTGGCCTCCGCTGCCGAGGTCAGATTTGTAAGGGTGGGGGCGGGGGTCGATGTGACATCCGGGCCATCTTAACGCTATGAATAGACGACCCATGCAGACCCGCGATCTCCATCGTGTCTCCCCCTGAGGCGGACTTTGAGGGCAGCTGGGAGCGCACCGGCGTGTGCCTGTTCGTTCCTCTGCTGTGAGAGATATTTCATCGGAAATTGCATCGTGCCCACGTCGCTTTCTGAACATCCCGTTCGAGTTTGAGCTTGTCGAAGGCACCGAAGGCTTGTCGTATTCTGCACCAGGGGTACCTATCTATTTGATTCATCTAGAGATAGGTAGTGTCATAGCAGGACTCACGTCCTCGGGCGCTGCCCCATTCGCAGTTGATGTCCCCTTGATGGTCAAATGCTAGCGCCAAACAAGGATTCGGTCAAATCATGTTTCACCCGAGTTGCTTGTCGTCGTTACGAGCAGATGAATAACCCCCAATGGTGTCGGAGCCGTCCGCTGTCGATTCAAACTAGCCGAGGACAAGTTCAAGCCTCCTGGCATTCGGGCCGGGCTCTCACGAGGTAGGTAGTTCAGGTAAGTAGGTAAGTTCTACGGATGAGGCCTTGGCGCTTCTCGAACCCGGCAACATTGGACTCAGTCGGAACTATTACTTGGGGGTTGCGTGGGTCTGGGATTTTTACCCATTTACCCCCTACTCCGTAGGGGGGGGCGAAAACTGTGGGACACGACAAAAAACCTGGGACACTCGGCCACCCATTTTTGCAGGAGATCTGTACGTGGGCGCCACTTGCAACCTCAACATACAATGATACAATGATATTAAAGCTATTCGCAGTAGTGTAAATTGACCAGAATTGATAGGAGGATCAATCTTTACAGTAGTTGAATTAGTTCTAATTGACTGGCGCGCGGCCCTGAGTAAGAAAGCCCTCCTACAGCCCCCCCCCCCTAAACCCCCATCAACAGCTATCTCTACGTAAAAACAAAACTGTAGATACTGTTTTTTATTACGTTTTTGAACGATTTAGCTGAATCTGCGTTTTATCGTTTATTCAAGCGATTCAGCCGCTTGTTGGCTCTGTTCAAGCGCCCTACACGCCTGTATACCCTTGAAGGTTATGTTGCGGTTGAAGGCGTTCCGTATAATACATTGATATACAGTTAACTTCGACGCCTCTGTTGCAGTGGGTGTAGGTGCGGCTAAGGCGGCCAGTCTTTGAACAGAGGGACTGAGGGTATTGCCATCTTCTGTATTAGGGGCATCGCCATCCCCAGTACTGAGGGCATCGCCATCCCCAGTACTGAGGGTATCGCTATCTCCTAGACTGAGGGTATTGTTGTCTCCCAGACTGAGGGTATCGTTATCCCTTATCTCTATATTGTTATTCCTACCTAGGAAGATCTTAACTTCTTTATCCGAATCTACTGGGCTGAGCTCGATAAGCGGGTACTATATTATCCTATTATTAAAGTTGAAAATCGGGGGTAAATCGAGTAGTATAAGATCAATCTCCTACCTATCTTTACAAGGGTTTAATTTAGCTAGTATAGCCAAAACGTAATTATCGTTAAATGGGATGAAGTCTTCCTAGTTATACTTATACTATTCAAGCTAATCTAGCTAGAAGAGCTTGCCCTTTCTGTTAACTGGATCTATATGCTATATCGCTTTTAACTCTTCAATAGTTTTACTCTTAGATTTAACAGCCCGGCGTTGTTAAACTCGGTCAGCCTCCTATTCTCTAGCGGCCCTCTACACGGCTAGTTCAGTTAGTTCTACCTTCAAAAGACTTAGCGAATCGCCATCTATAGGTATCTTATATACTCGGTACTATATCTTCTTTAAGAGGTTCTCTTTATATACCTGGTTAGCCCGCTTGGCTTCTTATATGTAGTTGAATAAAAGAATAGTTTTGTAGGTAGTGCTGGAGATAAACTGGAAGTGTATATAGGTAGGCGAACTAAATAGATTGAAGTATTTAGTAGTAATATAGTCTGTTGTTTGGATAGCTTCGGTAAACTGCTACTCCTTTGGTAATAAAATAAAGAGGGCTGGCTCTATTATAGTAGGCTATTTAACTTTAATCTAGTATAAGACCCTTTAGCGGTTAATAGGCTAGATACTAGTATCTTTAAACCTATTTATTATATTATAGACCGCTATACCTATATTAGTAATCTACTATATTAGTTAGTTAGTAATAGAAGTTAAGATTGGGAAAGGGAATATATATCTAGATGCTGAATAAAGTCAGCCTATATAAATGTAAACTCCCTGCTATAAATAAACTCCTATAAGATCCTTTAGTAGGCGGCCTTCAGGGGCGAGAATATACTAATATCGAGTAGCTATATAACGTAGATACTGTGGGTAGGAAGGTCTATAATCTCGATGTCGAATACTGCTATATAGTTACGAATAGCCGGGTTATAGTACCTACTGAAGCTATCGATAATAAGTAGTTGGTATACTCGTATTACACTATAGTTTATCCTTACGTCTATAGTATAGGTAGGGTCTGAAACCTTTATACTAGTCTAAGGAGAATTGCTATATTTGTTGTATCCGAACCATTCCTCAAAGGAGTATTCTAGAAAGGAGGTTGAGTATTTAAAGGAATAGCGATTAAAGAGCTTAAGCCAGTCTATAGTAAGCTTAGCGTTTAAGAAGCCGGTCGGGGACTTAGTAAAGCAGATTGTATTGTTGAGGTTATTATTAATAAACTCTTCGGTAGGATTAATCTTAAAGATAGTATATAGAGGGATCCATTTACCTATTATACTAACTAAGGCGATCAGGGTATAAGACTCTCTATTAGCCAGATTACTAATCTCTAGCTAGAAGATAGTTAGTATTAATAATTAGATAGCTCTTAACAAAATTAACCTTATATTTAACTATCTTATATAAGATAATAACCCTAATAGTACTACTTCTTACTACCCTAATGTAAGTACCTACTTTATCGGTATTCTAGATATTATATACCTAGATCTTGAACTTTGCTAGTATAGCTTTATACTGATTAAACTATTCGTTAATAGAGTTATAATTCAGTTTAAAGAGGCGTTATTTGATATTAACTATAGTATACTTCTTAGAGAGGAGGTCTAGGTTATTATCTATAAACTACTATAGCTACCGGGCTATTAGGGGCTTACCTGTTATCCTATATAGTTTGTATAGCTTGTTAGCTATATAGATAACTATTTCAGGTAATACTAGGAAGTATCTATAGTAGTAAAAGATGATATATACCTATATCGCATTCTCCTCGGTATAAGTAAGTATATAGGGCCGTCTAGGGTCTAGGGGGGAATCCCTAGATAGCCCAGCATACAATACCTTCGTACAATACGTAACAGCGCTTTTTGAAGATCCGTATTGTCGAGCCGCTTATCGAACTGAAAGAGAATGGCCAGACCGAGTTCACCGTTCGCTTCGAAGAATAGCATTCGCGGCGCGCAATCCATTAACTAGCGTATAGGGAGCTTCGGGGCAGGTTATAATAGGGATGTTGCGTTACAGGGGGGGGGGGTACGTCGTACAATTGGCGAAATGGGCTATAGGCCAGTAATTAGTAAAAGGCCTAGTAGGCCTACCGGTATATACTAGTAGATGGTAAAAAGGGCTTGAGATATACCAGATACGATTGTAGTGGATATGGAATGTATTTCGAAGTATGGATTTGTATGGGAAAATGGGTATGTTTTCACGCGTTGTGGGATTAAGTGTCCCAGGTTTTTTGTCGTGTCCCACAGTTTTCGCCCCCCCTACGGAGTAGGGGGTAAATGGGTAAAAATCCCAGACCCACGCAACCCCCAAGTACTGGAACATTGGAAACCATGAAAAGAAACCGAGTCGACAGCGTCCGGGCGACAGCAGCATTGGCGATCTCCTTCTGCACGAGAGGGGCGCCGCGGGTGGGTTTCTGGCGCTTCCCCCTAGGCACGCTTCTAAAAGGCCGACTTGGCAGTCAGCACAACCTGGATTTTCCCATCGGCTGCTGCCGTGTTCCAGGTCTTTGCTGCTGCGGTAACTCGAGTGCGGGGGAGCGGGGGTCATGTCAGCCAAGTCTCGCTGGTTTCCCAAGAACCACCCATGTTGCGGTTCCTTTTTCAGGCCGACGACTGGTCAGCAGCATCGGCTCGGCGATACCTTGGCTCTTGATGAGGGGAGCCAACCACCGTCACCAGCGCGGCCACCCTCTGCAGCAACGCATCGATGTTCGCTCAAAGCAGCATTCAACGTGGTGATCAACGTCCAATTTTGGTGCTGGTGTGATGGAATAGTGCCTTCTTACAGGCTGGTGGTTGATGGGGGAGGGCGGCAAAGCAATTCGGTCTTCGTCGGACGTGCCATCGCCAACCCACATCGCCTCGGTAAGCACTTCTCGATAAGGCAGGTTGCGATGGCGCCGCCGCCCGATGTCCCTTGGACCCATGTTTGGCCGTACCATCTCGGTGTCCTTTTTCAGACTGCGAAGGACCTGAGTTGTTGAAGGAACAGAGTTTGGGAATTATTTAATAGACTTCGTAATCTCGATATTGGTGAGCCGCCACTAGACTGGACTGTAGTAGCTCATTCGCCATCACATTGCGGTGTTCACAGGCCTCACGACGCTACAATGAAGTTCCTCGCAAGCATCCTCTGCCTGGCCTCGTCGGCTCTGGCCCTTCCTGCTCCGAGTGGCGCCGACGCCACTCTTGTCCAGCGGCAGACAACCGGCCAGATCACCGATCAATACCTCTACAGCATCACACTTCCTACCTTCACTTCCCGCCGCAATGCCCGCGACCCCGCCACACTAAACTGGGACTCCAACGGCTGCACCTCGTCCCCCGACAACCCGTTCGGCTTTCCCTTTCTCCCAGCCTGCCACCGGCACGATTTCGGGTATCGCAACTACAAAGACCAGAACAGGTTCACAGATGCCGGTAAACTGAAGGTCGACAACCAATTCAAGACCGAGTCCGTCTATTCCTTCCACTTCAATCTAGATACCCTCCCAGGGCGGGAGATGCTAACGCTAGATGCAGTCTCTACTACCAATGCCGTAACAGCAGCGTGAGGGGTGTTTGCGAAGCTTTGGCCGAAGTCTACTATGCGGCTGTTAGGGCTTTTGGTGGCGACACTCAGTCAAAGCGCGCTGACGACCTTGTTAAGGAGTATGAGGAGAAGGTGGCCATCTACGATAAGCTTGTTGCCGAGGCCCAGGAAAATGGCGAACTCTGGCGCGTCGACTAAGGGAGGAGCCCTTGAAAGACGATATAAGAGGGAAGATAACAAATAGTTGTGTAACTGGAGGGCATATTGCGAAGAACCAGTCTTTCCGTTACTAGATTCACGATTTTAAGGCTGTGACAACTGTGGAATCGTACTGATAGTCAAAGCGCAGGGCGATTGTTTATACTCAGCTTAAAGGGTTTCGTGTCTGGATGCATTGTAGAGAACCTTGCTATAACAACCCACCCTGAGATTCATTCATGGCAAGGCTTCGAGGTTAGGGGTGCCGAGTTGGGGAACGCTAAGGGGTTTCAATCACTTTTGTGAACCCTGTTTTGCCAGATCTATATACAAAAGAAGCCTGGCGAGCGATGCTAAGCTGGCCATTATCCTTACCCTCAGTCTAGAACACTTGGACTTCGCCCGTATATAGAACCACTTTGCCGCCGTACTTCTCCTTAGTTGCCGTCGTAACGAGCTTGAAAATGCCATTGACAGAGTCTTCCTCCGTTGTGGGAGCCTCAGCAATGCCGAAGAGATTGGCGGCTCCATTACCCATGTCGGTCTGTACCCAGCCAGGATCAATGACAAAGGTGTTCAACCACTCGTCCTCGGCATTGAGCCTAACACCGTACCAGGTTACTGCCGCCTTCGACGGCCCATAGACCGCGTTCGGGACTAGCGGTTGCCGTCTACGCGATGATCCGTTAGCATTTGCCATCCTATGCGGCAGCACCGCCCCTGAAGGAAGAGCTCACCCAAGAGCGCCGGCAGCAGATCCCAAGATCGTGAACATGGGCTTGCCGGGAGACTTCTCTAGTAAGTCCCGGGTAGCTTGATAGAGCTCCACGGGACCAAGAACATTCACATGATAATGTTCCAGGAGGTCGCTGCGCTTCGCCTCCTTCACCAGGGGGTAGAGCTTGGCGATGGCGGCGTTTGCGACGACGACATCGATGTGCGTGATCCCTTCTCCCTGGATCTGCTTCACGGCGTCAAAGGCAGCTCCCTCGACACTCGCGTCATATTTAGCCAAGATCAGCTTGCTGCCGTCGCCCCTGGGAAGTTCGGTGAGTGCCTGCGAGGTTGGGTGACGCGGGTCCCTGTTCGCGACGATCACGGTCTGCTACAAGGTTAGCGGCTTGCGATACGGTTAATAAGAACGGGCGTAGGGCCTACGTGGTTTGGCAAGGCGACAAGTTTCTTGACGAGCCCCAAGCCGAGGCCACGATTACCACCAGTGACGAGGATGGTAGTAGGTGCCATGGTGTATGCGGCGAAGGAGGCGCTGCAAATGAGAAAGTGTCGGTAGGGGAATTCGTGGTTGGGGATCTAGGTCCTAGGATCGAGTTCAGCTTGAAATGTAGTGGACTACAGCTACCTAGGTAGGTACTGTGCTTTGAATGCGCTTCACGGCCGAGGTGTTATAGGCCGAGCGAAAAGGTTTCTCATTTTTTGACAGGCGCCGGAGGTTCGTTCGATGACAAATAGCTGGCTTCCTTCGATGACAAATTGGCTGTGAACACTTACATTTGTCAGCCTTCAACCATCCATGTAGCCTTTTGCGTGTGATCATGCCTAGTTGGACGACATTTTGCATACTAGTGATTCACGGGGGCCAATTTCAAGGTTACCTAGTAATTGCGAGCAGCTGCGGTATTGAAGGTTGACTATCATTTTGTGTGACAAACCCCGCGACCCTTGATGACACCGACCATGGCGTGGAGCCGGCTAATAAGATCGTCATTCGTTCATCGGCAGCGACATCGAAGAAAACGTGGGTGGCGCCATTCGTCGAGACGACTCGCATGGAGACGGGCATCGCGGCCTCAGCGGAAATACTCGAGAATGCGGAAGCTAGCGACGAGGAGATTCACATTTTAACTCAGGTAGGTAACTTGAGTCACGGTCACACTGTTATTGGCAGTGTTGACGCACCAGCTGGACTTGCGTAAGGTAATATTTGCCACGTGCTTAGCAGGGGCTCGGGTATAATCTGTACAGTGGTTCACCTCCCTGACCACCGGGGGCAGCGTTGTCGACATCCTGGCGACGGTTGCGGCACGGGCTCAGGGTCCTCTTAGGACTGTCGGCGAGGGGGACCCTACCAAGCTACATGCCCATACTCCTGATTGAACCCTTCTTGTGGCTGCACACTAAATCTATAGTTAGTTTAGTCGTTAACTACAGAGCTGAAGCTCTGAAACCGACTTCGAGACGTAAGGGTCGCGGCCCCGGTGCTCGTGTGGGATGCGTTTCCGGAATATAGGGTCGTCGAGGATTCGCGGAGAGAGAGTATCCCGGAGGGCATGGTGGCTTCCACTGCGGATTGTTTTGAGCCTCGCGGTGACGATAATGGAACTCCGGATGTGTATGAGGCTATCAATGTTGTCACACACATACATTGGCGGACGTGCTTCATGGGGCGGGTTTCAATCATCTGAGTTTGGCCTAAGCCCCGTTTGCGAGCACGGCGGGAGCGGTTTGGACGAGCGTCACCGAAGTCTCGGAAGGGACGTTCATGCACGATGCCACACGCGTTCCCGTAGCGTACACAGTACAGGACGGCATATTATGCTCTGGTTCACGGGCGGACTGGAGGTGCACGCCGAAATTACGGCACGTTATATTGGCGCTGAATTGTTCTTTGCTCCGGGGGCCGGACGCGGAGGCTCAAGCGAAGCTGGTGCTCGACAAATACGCGAGTGGTCTTCGACCTAGAGATTTTCCACTGGCTTGGTCGCTGCGTTGAGATTCAGTGGCAACTCAAGAAAAGGCTGGAGTACCGAAATGCCGGCTCTCATGGCTGTTGCGTCATGTAATACGCCTACACTGATCCTTTGCGCTACGATAGGGTTTGGAAGCGCCCACTGTTCAGATTCCCGACGTTGGATAACTAGCTACTAGAAGGAACGGAGACTGAAAGTGTGCTACTAAGGGTTATCTCCATCTCAGTCCTCGAGATATGGATTTGAAATGTTCCAAAAGATACTATCCTCCAAAGAAGTCCATCCGTTCTTGTGTGGTTCGTCGGTCCACTTCCTTAGAAGCGCCACGGCTTCCGTTTGATCGACTGATACCTTTAGATGATGCGGATCAGGGTAGTCGTCGACGAACTTCTTCAGCGGACGGAGTCTGCGTAGTACAGAGAGTACTTCATTCCAATGAGTACTATGACCCCAAGATTGGAGTCGTGCGCCCTTGACCTCGGGATCAAGAACTGCCGCCACATGGACTAATGCCACGTCTTTCACATCCCCATAAAAGGCTATTATCGAAAGGGTCAGATCACGGCTCAGCCAAGCCCCGCGGGAGGAGCAGTTCTTACAGGCTTGAAATGGGTCCATCGCCGTTTTGTTGCCCCTATAGGCGTGGACCACCCAGTTGGCTGGCCCCTCAATGTGCTTCTTGTTGAGGGGCTCACCAGTCAACCCTGCAGGAGAGACGACATTGACATTGAAGTGAAGGTCATTGTTCTCGACAAATTTCCAAACTTCCTTCTCGGCGGCTAGCTTGCTGGCAGGGTAGTTGGCCATGGCGTGAGATATGCCATATGGCGGTGGCGCCCAGGCAGCCTCAAGGACCGCATCATTCCAGGAGTCTCGTCCGATGGTGCCATTATCAATGCCAGGAGCAAGCGGCGAGGTTGAAACGGCGCTGCTGGTAAACACGGCCACTTTGACCGAGGACTCTCGGATAGCCGCATTCATGATCGACCGCACGCCAGCGACCATGGGGGTGATGACGTCGTTGGGGTCGGGGACGATGTTCGTAACGTAGGCGGTGTGAACAATGGCGGCAACGCCTTTGATGGCCTCGTCGTAAGCGCCATCAGCGCCAAGGTGAGGGACAGAGACGAGCTCGATGGCACCGATGTCGGCATATGGCTTGAAGCGACCTTCCAAGAGCCACGAAGATTGAGTTGGATCCCGAACAGTACCTCGGACCTTGAAACCCCTTTTCAGGAATTGAAGACAAACATGGGATGCGAGGAAGCCGCTGGCACCGGTCACCAGGACCCAGGAGCGAGCAGGAATGGACGTTGTCAAAGAGGACATGGTGCTGGAAGAGCTGAAAGTAATGCTTTGGTGGGTTCGAGAAATGTGAAGAGCTGAGGATAGCAAGGAGGGAAATTAATGTTGGTTCAGAGCCTCGACTCAGGCCTTTATATGTTTTCTGGTGACTCTTTAAACATCCGCGATCTGCTTGTACCCCCAACTTTGCTCGTACCCTGTTTCAAGCAATACCAGCAGTTCATGATGTGTTGACATCGCCGAAACATAGCTACATCCAAACCGGGTAATCCTTAGTCTTGGTACGGACCGGTGTCTGACAAATTTTGACCGAATCTCACCTCATGTTTAAAGAGTGGTTCAGCACGGCCCAGGCTTCATTCACATCACCAAGCAAAGATCTTGTCGAGCAATAGCCCGATCGGGTAATCCTAAATCTTGGCATGGACTGCCGCCTGACAAACTTTGCCGAGTTTTCCCTCCTAAGCCGGAGAGCCGTTCCTCCAGGCTTGACATCGCCAAGATCGTGCACCTTCATCCTTGATCTTGGCACGGTCCCGCGTGTGACAAATGTGCTGAGGGTGTTCGAGGATTTCTTTGACCTTCAAACTTTGTCTGCAACATCAGAGACGCACCTCGCTAACGCCAAGTGCTGTCCGGATCTCTCTCCCCTGTCAAGCTTCCAGTATGGCCCGCCAGTTCCGATTTGTTGCTGTCTCGAATCCGGCGGAACCCCCTTCATCCAAATCCAAGAAATTGGCCTATTCACACGCCTTTCGCCAGGCGCACGCCCAGAGGAGACGCGAAGAAACAGAAAAGTACAGAAAGGAGAGAGCGAGTGTCCCGGTTAACCGAGTCTTTGCTGCATCCGGGGAAGCCATCTCGGCCCCCCTGAGCAAAGTACTCAACAGTAATAAAGACCCGTTCTCATCTTTGGCAAGACCGCTCTCATCGACGGAATATTTCCTCCTCAATCACTGTATGTCCATCATAATTATATTTCCCTTACCGGAGCAAGGGAGGCAGACCCATGCCAAGGTTCACAACCCTCCAACCCGTTTGCTAATCTTGCTCTGGTTCCAGATGTTCACGTCATCGTACCATTCACTGTTGGCCACTGCGGCTTATTCGACCGTCCAGGAGACCACAAGACTGAGCTCCTTCGAGAATGGGTTGGTCTCGCTATCACAGATGACACGCTCATGGTCGCCGTTATTCTCCTCAGTACATGCCGCTACATTCTGCAGGTCCAGCCAAGCAACCTCATCATTATACGCTTGGCTCTGGAGTATAAGCAGATATGCCTTCGGACACTGCTTCAAGAAATGAGCAACACTTCAACTCCCGTCAATACTTTGACGGTTGCTAAAGCAATTGCCCTTGCGCTGGACGAGGTAACCTCTTTCCTGAGCTCATGGCACGACTGGCCTGTGGTTTCCGCTGAAAGTGACGACTGATAATTCCTCATCCAGGTGACGGCAGGTGAGCATGCCATTGCCCAGAAGCATCTCAAAGGCGTACTTGCTATGGTTAATTCCAGGGGTGGCGCAGGGGAGCTTGGCTTAACGGGTCTTTTAGAACGGATGTACCAAAGGTTTATGGAAACATTGGAGGTGAAGGACCCAGAAATAGACTCCGTAGGTTTCAAGACACTAACACAAGGGTAAGATGCTACAAAACGGAGCTCTCAACCTTACAACTATATTCTTCCCATCTACATTAACCCCCACCTAGGTAGATTAACCATATCGTACACATCTAACAAGGCCAGGTTACCAGCGTGCTTTTGGCTCAAGTCCATTAAAGCCCTCTAGGGTGTACCATAGAAGCCCCTGGAGGGCCCCCCGACCCCCGGCCTAGATCTCCTCATCGTTTGCGAAAAGTGGGTGGTTCGGCGCGCAAACAGTGCCCTCCTCCGGCAGCGTCCCGTCGGCGAAGTACTTTGCGATGGCCTCGTTCGTGCAGTTCGAGGTCTGCGCAATCGAGGTGTGTCCGAAACCGTCCTGCTGTAGCACCACGGAGCCCTCGAAGCCCGCGCTCATGTTCCTCGCCGATGCGAGCGGTGTGACAGGGTCGTATGTGTTCCCGATGAACAGCAGCGGGGACGATGTACGGACTTGGAAGTCGCCCTCGTAGCGCTCCTTTGCCTCGAAGCCCCATTGCGCGCACGCGTAGACGTAGTAGCCGACGCCGAAACCCGGGAAGTACTTGCTGGTCTCGCGGAAGTCTTCGTCTACCTCGTCGAGGTCTGACAGATCGTCCACCCGCGGGATCTTGTCGCCACAGCGGATGCCCATGACGGCCTGACCCTGCTGCGGGACGGCGCTCGGGCTACCATCACCCGAGAAGGCTTCCACTAGCGCGACTGTGTCCCTCTTGACGACGGCCGTGAGAATGCTAGCGAGGAGCTGGTACGAGTTGGGGCGATAGAGTGTGCTGAGGGTGAAGGAATTGGCGATGGAATAGGTAATGGCGACAGGGTCGGCGTCCTCTACAGGGACGAGGAGCGGCTCCGTCTTAAGCGTCTCGAAAGTGTCGACGATGACCTTGAGCGCGGCATCAGGAGAGTCTGTGATGGTGGCGAGGGGACACTTTTTGGGATTATCAAAACACGCGTTGATAAACCCTAGGAAGGTATCGTCGGCCGTGAGGACGATGTTCGTCTCTCTGTTCTAGTTGTCAGGACACGAAGTATGATAGGGGAGTTTGGACAAAGTCTCGTACCCTACGCTGTGGTAGTATTCGTGGGCGTTCATAACGCCGTCGAGAATGACTTTGTCGATCCTGTCAGGGAACATGGCCGCAGCCGTCGCGCCGAGCGTAGTGCCACCGGAGATACCTGGTAAACCAGTCAGTTCCCCCGTCGCTCAGTTCCGCACAACCCACTTCACACTCACCCCAGTATCGCAGCATCCCATCCTCGCCGAGCGCGTCGACAATCTGGAACATATCCCTCACGGTAAAAGCCGTTCCCACGAGGTCACCTGTCTCACTGAGCCGCTCGCTGCAGTTCCCCGCGATGTAGCCGGCCTCGTCCCAGACCCTCTGGCGGACTTCGGGCGACTCGTCCGGGAGCTCATGGGCTAACGTCACGCCGATTTCTTCCGGCTCGAAGCAGGCAAAGCGGAGGGTCTGGCCGGTCCCGCGGGGATCCCAGCTCACAAGGTCGAATTGGCCACCTGTAACCCTAGTGTCCCGGTCTTCGTTAGCCGAGGAGAGGCCTCGGTCGGATGGTGAGTTCAAGTTCACTTACGGTCCCTGTATCGGCGCGTAGCTGATCATGCTGTTTAATCCGTCTTGGCCGGGGCCGCCAAAGTTGAGCATGATTGTCCCCTGAGAGGGTCCGTTCTGCGCTGGGTACCGGATTAGGGCGAGGTCCAGGGTATCCTCGCAAGAGTCGTCAGAGTAGTCGAGCGGCACGGTAAGCTTGGCGCACTCGACTGGTAGGCCCTGCGTGTCGATGTCGCACTTCCCCCATCGGATGCCCTCGTCACCTCGAGGCTTGGGGACCGCCTGGACAGCGGAGATGCCGAGGGCGAGGAGCAAGGACTTGGTGTAGGACATTGTGTTCGTGCCTCTATTAAGTGTTGTGTTGTGGTTTGTAAAGGGATGGGACCCCGATCGGATCTTTTCTGCTTCTTTCCTGGGATCTTTATATTTTGTGTTGTTGGACCTTGTCGTCGGTACCTCCGGTACGTGGTATTGCCTAATTGGGAAATACGCGACATTCCTCACGCAGCCCCGTCGGCCCGCCTCCATGGGCAGGGTTGGACAGCCTACAGAGTCGAACCTTCGCCCCATAACGTACATCCACACGACAAAATGTTGTGGGTATGACCCCGGCCGTCTGAGGGCCAGCCGCCATTGGAAGGCAGACGGCCGATCGCGATGTTTAATCGAACGGCGAATGGCAAAGGTCGGTACTCCGACAGATTACCGTTGCAGGGTCTGGTGAGGATCACAATCGCCGAGTGGGGCCGGAAGAGCCGCGCCGGGCTGAGCGGAGGGATTACCGCGATCATTACCTGATTTGGTGTATCGAGGTCTTTGGTATTTCGGCGCCGGATTGGTCATTAACGTGCGAGCAAAACCGAGAAAGAGATTTCTGCGATGACTCACGATGACGATGCATCATCTGCTAGACACACTCCGCCCCAACAAGGAGTGTACGCCCGTGATCGACTCGTCGAGGTTGTAAAAGCACCACAATTCTCGTGATTGTTATACGGACCTTTTTTAACGCACTTTACTGAGGCACTTCATCACTACTCTGATTTGTCCTCGTTTTCCGACAAGTCCGAGTCAAACCACTCGCTGTCATCATACACCACCTCCTTGCCCTCCTCATCTCCCTCAACGTCACCCACATTAGCGCCCATGTCATCAACACCATCGAAGACAGCACCCTCATCAACATAGGCATTATCATCCCCGCCCCAACCGCTTCCACCGCCTGAGCCACCAACAGTGGTCCCAGCCGACATGCCTCCAACTGCCGGCTGTACGCTCGTCCGGACGCCCTCGCCAAAGAATGGGTGACTCGCATGCAGCGTCTTTCCCTGCGTCAGGAACCCCATGGGCGTATGAACAAAGTCCTGCCCGTGGCGACGGACGGCCAGCCACTCCTGGAGGAATGTCAATGGCCGGGGCGAGAACGAGGTCATGATCGTCTGCTTCTTCTTCCTCGGAGGGGTCGCCGTTCCGCCCGCCCTACCCCCGTCCCCGTCATCGTCAGTATCATCCTCGGAAGTGAGAGTATCTTCCTCGTCCTCGCTGTCCAAGTGGGCTGGACCGAGACTCCGCTCAACTCCCAGGAATTTGCACAGCGGTTCGTGTTCATGCCACTGGAAGTATAGTCTCCCTGCCAGCAGGCCGAGCTCGGTCTTGAGCCACTGCGGTGCCTCCCAGCATTCAGGCAGCTTCGGCATGCTGAAAAACGTCAGGTTGTTAAATGCCATCATCCTTTTCGTGACGGGGGATGCATAGGTGATGAGGTGGACTTTGGAGTGTGTGGTTTTGGCGTGCATCATATGGATCACTTGCTCGGCTTCTTCGGGGATGAGGACGACGGCAGTCTCGAATAGCCCGCTCCAGAGCACCCAGCTAACGGGTCGCTTTTGCGTCGTTAGATGTCAACATGAGAAGAAGGGGGAGGGGGGGGGGGGGGGGGGGGCTTTGCGCTGGGGACATCAATTAACTAAACTTACTAGGAGATTATCCGGAGCGGAAGAGGTGTAGAGCTTCGCTGTCCGGTTGAACTCGCCCGAGACGAACAACTTGGACTGTGCTTGGCTGCCCTTGGACAACACTCTATGTTTGCGGCCCAGCGCAGTGGTCGACAGTAGCTGGAAGACATGCGAGACAGCGTGACTATCAATGGGGAGTCGTCCAGTCCGGGCAAAGACCTCAATGTCGCGGTGGAGGCCTGGAAAGCCCAGGGCGTCGTACTGCACCACCTTTTTCACCTGCCGGACCGACTCAACTTCGAAAGCGACCTCGCGCTCCTGCTCGACTTCTTGGAGCGCTGAACCATGTACGGCCCGTCCCGTATCCTGAAAGCCCTTGCGCCGGGTATTGAGCTCCTCGGCAAATGCAGCCATCTTGGGATGCGACGATTGGAAGTTGCCGTGTTTGGACCCCTTGGCCTTCGGCTCGTACATCTCCTGCAGGGTCTGCAGCTCGGTTTGCATGATGGACGACACATATTGGGCGCGGTGACCGGGGTTTGTCAGGTAGTCAGGGTTGTCAAGAGCTGCTTGGGTTCTCCGGCAGAAATCGATGCCTTGCGAGTAGTACAAGGGTTGTAGTTGTTCGATGCTATCGCAGGAATTGTCAAGCAGCCAGCGGATCCTGCAGCCAGGCAACTGTCAGTACCATATCGCGGCACAACGGTGTAACGAGAAACATTTTACTTACACATCGTGAGAGTCGATGCTCTCAGACATTGACTTTCCTCGGAGGTCGACAATGGTTTGGCGCACCTCGGGCGGGATAAAGAATGTGACCGACTGGGTCGTCCCCAACTGGCGTAGTCGCATGGCAGCTAATTTTTGTCCTTATGTCAGTCCGGTCACATGGAAGGTATCGCAAAGAGTCGGGGCACACCTTGGACGGTATGGTCTTTTGACTGGCCTTGGCCAACTGTGAGGGCACCCCGAGCATCAAGAGGGAACTTGAGATCTGTCCCTCGAGTGTGCGCTTCGTCCAGATACACGAGACACTGGGTTAAATCATCGGCGTACGGCGACGCCAACAGAGGCGTCTCGCGACCCAGCTTGTCGATGACCCACGGCTTGTTGGTCGAGTCAAAATACAGCGAAGCCTCGCACCGCTTGTCGACGTCGAGCCACGTCCTGGCGAGGGTCTTGTTGTCCATCTCAAGGATTTGCGCCCCCGCGTCGATGAGGATCCTAATGTTTTGTCCCCTGAGCATGAAGAGCAAGTCACGTTCCGTCGCTCGGCCGCCCTGGACGTTGGTGATGATCTCGCACCTCCGAGACCGGCCGTGCAGCAGGTACGTCAGGACCTCGGCATTGGTGTGCGACAGAGTTGGCAGGTCTGCCTGTTGGATGGTCAGTGGCAACATAGTGCGGTTGTCGTTGGTGCCACTAAAGCCTGTCGTGAGCGGTCGCAGTCGGGCCTTTTTCGACATTTGATCCTCGGTAGAGCCGTTTGTAGTACCGGCTGATGGTGACGCCGGCTGCGCCGAGAATAACGGGATATCCCATCCGCTGGACTGCAACTTCACTCTGAACTGCTTCGCGTGCTGGGGGAAAACAAAATTGTTCAGGAAGTAGTCGACCACGACGACCCGGTAGCGCACCGCATTCCAGATCTCGCGGATCTGCGCGTCGTCCTCGATGTTGATTGTGTTCCACGCCCGGACAGATACCGGGAAGTCCTCCGAGGACTGAACCCACTTATCGTACTCGGTAGACGGGTCGTCTGACTTGAGAACGCGGGCCAGCGCCAGCCGCAGCTGACTCTCATCGATACCGTCGTAGTAAAACACCAGGCATGTGAAGAGTATGGCCACGTCGGGGTGGCCCCATTCCGACTGCTCACTCGGCACCCCTTTTGCATGGTACGGTACGGCAACGGGATCTGAATTAGGGCGCAGACCGTACTGCACGTTCCATCGCTTTTTGAGCGTCATGACCAGGATGCGGTTGACGAGCAGTCCGCGAACGAGATAGACCGTCTGCCTCACCTGGGGTCTATCCGGACGCAGGTTCCGTATTCTGTCAAGGGTGGCTGGCTTCAGCTTACGTGTGCTCGGGGACAGAAAGTCCCGGACAGCCGCACGTTCTCGATTATCAAAAGTGCCCACAGGCAGGATTCTGCCGCGCCCTTTGGCGATGTCTGCAGCCAGCCGTTTAAGCAACTCGTTCTCAACGTCCCGGCGGGCGAAGTAGATAAGAGGAAATCCACCGCCTTGTCGTCTAACCACTTCGATAGACTGCGGGAATGAGCGTTGCAAGTCATAAAGGTGTTGGTCGACAAGGCTAAGGAGGGCTTCGACGACTTGCCACCGGTGCGGGTGGCCATCGACGGACATTTGCGAGCCGGAGGGATAGATGAGTTGCGTCCGAGCAGCCAAAGTGTAGTCGGATTCGTCCAAAATGTCACGGCAGACAGACCTCAACCAGGACTGCACCTTGATCATAGGCTTTGCTTCATCGACTTTGTTGTCGAGTATCCTCTGCTGTCCGCTCAACAAAAAGGAGAGATTGTGCTCTGGCAGGCACAACATCACGCCGGCTGCCTTCAGTGTACGCTTGTGGATTTCGTAATACAGTCGAATGCTGTCCCCTGTCGTCGGTGTCCGCCTGGAGAAGGGGATATGGCCGACGTGGCGGTTCAGAACTCTGCCAAGGCGAGACTGCAGCAACTGAGCGGTCTGCTGGAGAAGCGCTTTCGGAACGATGATGCGAACAAGCCTCTTCTTGTCGGCCATCGCAGCCGCGACCATCGGGATGATGCACGAGGTCTTGCCCTGTCCCATGTTCATCTGCAATACTGAGTTGGTGCCTGAAGTCGGCGAAATGGTAGCCAGGGCTACGTCAACTTGGCCTGGTCGGATGAGTAGGTCGGAGTCAATTTCTAGTAGCAACCAGTCGGGGTGGTCCTGGGGTTTCCAGTTGCTGTGCCCCAAGTTGCCTTCTTCGTCCTCGAAGCGCGATGTGTCGCCAGCCCGGACACAATCGTTCAGCCTCATAACCCGTTGCAGTTTGGTTACGGCTAGTCCGAAGGCAATGAGTGCATCCCGCATCCCGCTCCCGAAACAAGGGTCAGCCGTCGAACGCAGCTGCTCCAGCAAAGACACCGTTGTGATCGCGGGCCAGAGGCCCCCAAGCTGAAGCCAACGTATCCGGCGAAACGACGTGGCTGATGTCGGTCTCTCCAGTGACGCTTTCAGGGACGCAAAGGCACGGATCAACTCTGATGTGGCCACCGCGCTGTTACGGAAGCAAAGGAATGTGGCCAGCTGCTGGGGCGTCCTGAGGTTTTTGGATGCCTCAAGGCTTTGCGAAAGATCTCGGGCATAGGTTTCGCGCACCAACGACTTGCTCTTCGCCAGGTCATCGATGATTTCTTGCAGCTCGCCGGCGTGCCTGCTTGCCTCCCCAGAAGAGAGTCTCCGCTTGGCATTACTGGCAATGGTGTCTTGGCTCCGCGTGACCACGGATGACTGGCGGTCATCTTGGGGGCTGCTGGCGAAAGGGGTCCATTCGGCCGACGAGGTTTGCGTTGCGGTAATGAGAGAAGTTGAGTTGAAGGACTTCCTTAGAAGGTCATAGTCCAGTCTGGGGATCACGCCTCCTCGAAAAAGGCTAGGCGAGCCAAAGAACTCCTCAGATACAATCATCTTTGGAGGGTTATACACCAAGTCTGAACGCCGGCGGTCCAGGATCAGCTGGACTTGGTTCAAGTGAAGAGACAGGTCCCTGTTGCGATACAGGCGGAGCCATTCGGGGCGGATAACCTCGAGGGCAGCCGTGGTGTCCACTAAAAGATCGGTACGGGCCAAGTTTGACACGTCGGGCTCGCGGCACGGCCACTGCGCGAGAAGGAATTTGGCGAAGTAACGACAATCATCGTCGCTTCTCATCTCGTGCGCGTCCTTCGCTGCTTTCATCTTCCGGTGCTGTCTGGAGGCTATAAGCATCCCCAGCGCCTCCCCATCGTCTTTAGGAGCTGGGACTCTGAAGGGGTAGATCAATTTCGTGATATCGTCCACCCCGGGGTTGCTGTCCGGACGAAAGTTGAAGTAGGAAGGCCAGGGCGGAAGAGACAAAGACTGGAGATCGCTAAAGATAGCAAATGACAAAAGTCCCTTGAGGAGATTGTTATCAAAGTTTTGTCGGAACGCTAAGGTTGCGAAAAGGAACATGAGGCTGTAACTTGACTGGCTACGGCAACAGGATTCAACGAGCGAACCCCAATTTTCCCGAAGGTCGGCGCGCATTTGATCACTCAGGGACGCAGCCTTGTATTCAGCACCGTAACCCCCGATGGTGTTTCCCTGGGAAAGGATGGCGGCTATGTTGGCCGGGGTCCTAAACTTCGGTGGCCTCGTTCGCAGGAGCTGTGTAATCTCCATGAGAGTTGCGTACCGGGACTCCGAAGGTGACGACCTGTCTCGGGGCGAGTACAACCGGTCCGGGTTGTTTGATGTTAGTTTATCGTCATCTTGACCGGCTTCCTGCCTCTCATACAGTTGGCGACGCACCAACGCCCTTGCAGTGAGATGCGCTTCGCCAGCAGGAGGGAGGTCATAACAGACCCCCTGCATAGGACTATGCGTAGTGGCGAACGTCGCCAGGCCCTTCGAGACAGCCATTATTTCTTCAACTACCTGTCTATACGACGGGTGCTGCATGTGGCAGGTGGCGTCCTCATTCCAGCGGTCCGTCTTCATGAGTTTCAAGTCTGGCGGATAGTATTGGCGCACTGGCGTCAGACTGGCAATTCGAGACAGGACCTGGACCGGCGCCGGGTCGAGAAGCACAGTCCAGGGACGGGAGATTCCCGATCGAAGCCAACCGAGACTCTCCTCCGCTCCGGTTCGCCCCGTTAACGGATCGGGAAGCAAGAATGACGTGTACGCGTGCAACAGCCCTTTGGTGTAAACCAGGGTGGGTTCGGCGGCACAGTCTATCCTGCCAAGCGTGTCATTGATTGTAAACTTTCCGTACCTGCCGTCCCCTGCGATGTTGACCATGACGTGGCATCCTGATCTGGCGGTGGACACGGGACCCAGCGGAACCAACACCGTCCGGCGAAGAGGGTTGTCAATGCTGCAACAGACTAGCTTGCTTGTTAGGCCGTACCAGGTGCCGGCATCTTGGTTGGGGTCGATCTCTAGCTTTAACTGCGGCGAGTACAGACGCCGACTCTTGTTGACGAAAAACATTAACTGCAGCTGCTGGATCTGGACTTCCAGACCGGTTCCTAGGTTGGATGGCTGGGTGACAAGGAGTCGTCGTCTGTTGACCAGGCCATCTAGGATTCTTGCAGCCCGCGCGAAGAGAGGGCTGAGAGGGTCCACAGCATTCTCGTGTGTCTGCCCGTCACGTCGGAGCTTCCAGCAAACACCCGTGTGGATGCTTAGGGTCCAGGTCCGATGGCGATTGAATATGTCCCATGGACTTGCGGTGGGCGTAATGTAAACATCCCCAGTACTCAGATTGCTAGCGGCTATGTGTTAGCCAATGCCGAGAAATTCCAGGGTTGGTCGAGCGGAAATACGTACAGCCAGTGTATACACCTATCTACCAACGGGCCCGGGAGATCCCATGTGCTGCCGACGTGAAATCTGTCCCGGGAGACGAAGCGGACAGTGCAAACCCGACGCCCCCCTGATTTGGCCACAATGATGGTGTCGCGGCCTTCGTATCCGAGATGCACGGTGAACCCATGTGGTCGAAATGTGAGAGCTGATACAACGATACGTCAGTTATTCGACATCGAAACGTCTATGGTTAAGCCAGGTGGTGTAACGGCCTTACTATACGTCATTCCCGGAACTGACGACTGAAACACCCTCAGAGGTTGATTACCAAAGAGCTCCCTGATTACCAACGAGTTCTGCGAATCTTGAGGCAGTTTCTGCTCAATTTCACCTGTTAATCCCATCCGGTAACACACTAGGATAGACCGGAGCGGCAAGACTTACCCCCACAGGTTTCCCATTCACCAGGAGTGTTCCAAGGAGCAAATTCAGGTTCACCACCTGATGACTCTCGGTTTCTGTCTCGGTGATATCGCAAGACAGCCAGCCAGTGGAATCAAAGCTAATCTTTGAGTTCGCCGGTCCGATTCGATCGGCGTCAGGCCAGAATTGCTTGAGGGCATCGCGGAGGCTGTCCGGACTGTCGCATATTGAGCGGCAAACGAGCCGCTTTAGACGATGCGAAAGTTTGATCGCAGACACCATATCGTGCAACATGGTCTGCGGAAGTGAGTGAATGTTGCTCACCATGTTCTCGTGTGTGACGATGGCAGCCTCGAGGTACGTTGCCAATGATGCGGGATCGAAGGGAACAGACTGATTCAGGTGGATGACAAATGTGCGCTTGCACAGCAACGCAGCCGCGAGAGCACGCTGTTGCAACTGTTGAGCCGCTACCGTGTCTGGGGATGTTAGAATCTCCTCCCGGAGAAGCCTGAACCAGCGGACGCAAATCTCCCGGGCCTGTAGAATGGAACTGAGAGCCTTCTGGTCAATCCCAGGGCCCAACTTTGCCGCCGAAGCCAAGTCGAGAATGCGGAGCGCCAAAGTGATTATCGTTCCCATGAGATATGCCTCCCTCCAACTTGCCAGCGCGGCTAGATTCGATAGCCGGGAGTTCACTTGGCCGAGCAGCTTCTCGACAAAGTGGGCGTCGCGGAAAACCGAGTGAATCAGTCTCAGGGGTCTCAGTTCGTCGTTCTGGTTAGATGGCGGACCGCAGTGCAGCGCCAAATGATTGAGGAGCATCGCACTTGCTTCGGTCGACCAGTTCATGTTGGTCGCCCCGAGCTCCACTAGTATCGATATCCACCGTCGAGCCGTGCCCGACATTAGCGTCTTGAAGGCGAGGAACTCGTGTGAATTGAGACCGGAGGGACAGCTCATTTGGGTGGCCATGATTTCGTACGACGAGGGGCCGTCGCCTTCTGCGGAACTCCTGTAGTTCAGGAGGGTGCGCAATGGAGAGCTCTGCGGCAACTGGAGTTGGACATGGTGGGCAAACTGTGGCCTCAACCGTGCTCGCCCCGTCCAGATACCGCTTCTTGCGTCAAAGTAGGCCAACTTTAACCCATTCGGCTTGCACACTGCATCCCGACCACCTTCCCACTCGACTGGAAATCGGACGGTCGCATAATGAGTTTTCAGGACTGGAGGTATATACAGCATTAGCAACCGGTAACAAAGCCACTCGAGGCTCGAATCACGACGGTCGACAACAAGATACACTTACATGGTTTTGTCAGAGACGCTAGAGAGAAACTGGGTGGTCTTCCGTTGCCGACAAATTTGGCAATGGCAGAATACTCCCGAACGAGGCACTTGGGTGTGACTCCTTGGGGCGGAGTTGAGAAGGCCAGTCGCGACAAGAGCATCCATGTTGCATCGCGGTAGGATGCAAAGGCCGGTGGGCACCGTAGCTCAAATACGACCACCTTGGCCATGAAGTCGTCAGATGGAAGCGGGTGCTCGTGGATCTCCATGTCTAGCCTGTCCAGCCTCCGTATTGCTTGACACCGGGGACAGCAATGTGCGATATGCTGTTCTCTTTCGTACGGGTCATCCTCGTCGACAGTGAGAATGCAGGCGCTTCCGTTGACCTGCTGGGTCAAACCATCGTACTCGGCGTGCTTGCGCCGCCATTCGTGCAGCTTGGCTTGCTTTTGGTTCCTGGCGGTCTCTTCGATATCCTCTCGAAGGGCAGCCATTTCCCCCGTGGAATGAACTGCATCGTAATATCTTCGCGCGAAGCAATCCTTGGTCGGGTCATCAAAAACGGTGACCTTGGAGCCACGGCATGCTGCAATCCGTGCTTGAAGATAATCCTGCATGGTTTGCAGGCGAACCATGTCCTCGTACAAGGGAAGATGCAAAACGTCCAGGATTTCGGGCGTGAAGGCGGGGTGATATTGTTGGAGGAGAGGGAATTCCTGGCATGTCCACATGTCAAGCCTCGTCCAGAGTTCCATGACATTGAGGATCAAAAGGCTCATTTGATTGCCGTTGCCACGGTACAGCGGCAACCCTTCCTCGATGAGGCTTTGTATTTGGGAGGGTATACCGGACTCGGGGGGTCCCGAAACCGACCGAAGGGACTCCCGAACCTCGCACTCTCTCTTGGTGATCCAGAGAAGGGGCTCAGCGAACTTGTAGAAATGCTCGTTGGTTAGAGCGGAAGGGTCAAAGCTGGATGGTGGGATCCATTTTTGCTGCCGGTCCCTCATCATTCTAGTGGACGAGGCCAGGATTCGCTGCAGACACTCGCCACTGAGTCGCAAGGGGAGCACCATATCGGATTGAGATGCTCTCCTGGGCAAAGGGGGAATGTACTTGATGAAGGACTGCCGGTATGCCTCCCACGCGGATTGTACGTAGTCGACAGCGCTTTGGATGCTCGGGTCGATGATGGGGGTCAGAAGGGAGAAGAGACGGTCCACCTTTCGCACCAGGTGCTGGTCTTGCATGCTGTCTCTCTCCATGTCCAGCTTTGCCAGTCGCCGGCACAGTTTCGCCTTGAGGAAATGGACCTGCTCAACCTCGAGATACGGTAGAGCCTGCTCCAAAAACTTGGCCAAGCAAACGCAGAAGCAGAATTTATATTCGAACCGACCCAGCTCCGCCCCGAGTGCAAGCAATAAGTACCGAGAGCTGGCGACTCTAAGCGCAAGCCAACGGGGAGAGCGGCGCCACGGTCTGCGGGCATTGGACCAACAGACGTCGTCCCGTACCCGCTTCCGAAGTAGGGGGGTCGACAGCCTGCGTCCGTTCTCTTCGATGACTGCCATTAAAAGCGAACTGATGATGGCCGGGTTGCCAGTATCTCGGTCCTCATAACTTTCGACTCCGGCCTTGAAAGACTGGGCCCCGAACGTCTTGGTAGACTCCAGGGAGGCTCGCTCAAGAAAGTCGGCAAGGGCAACCTGGAAGTTTTCATCGTTGAATATCGGCAACGGGATAGCAAATGCACTGCCTGGAAAATCCCACTGTAGGGCGTTGTCTGCTGCGAGGACATCCTCGTTTCTTGGGGAAGTTTCGAAGACTTCAAAGACAACCTCTTCGGCAGACCTAGCAGGGACAAACCGTTAGTGAACTCTGAGCAGTAAAGTCGGAAAAGGTCTATCGACTCAACCAAACCTCGGAGGTGTGAGCACTTACTCGGAGAGTCGATGAATCAAAAGAGCTGCATTCTGGCTGCGGATGTCAAGAAGTATGGCGTTAAGCGCGGCCATCCTCCTGAACTCTGACAATAACCGCACCCTGTCGACTCGGTTGTCGCGGGTGATAGCGCTGGATACGACTAAGCATTGCCGTAGGCGTTCCCAGACGCTCGATGCCTCTAGTCGTATCTGGTCTCCAACAGCAGAATCGCGCATGAGGCGGACCGCTACGAGGAGCTGTTCGGTCAGCCTAGCCTCGACGTCGTAGAGGTTCGCATCTTCAGAGTGCGGAAGGCGCTGCGGTAGAGCGAGATGGTGGAAAAGTGATCTTTCCATAATTGGGACAGCCGGTTTAGCATAGTGTGTTCAGGAGGGTATTGGTAGAAACAGGAGAGTTGGGAAGGTGGGAAAGCTTGAGTAAAGAAAAGGACTGGCAAACGCGGCTATTCTCAATCCAATGAAAGCTCGACTTTTGTTTGCTTAGGGCCAGCCCACATTCGAAGCATCTCATTTGCTGTCAATTCCGGAGCCACTTTTTTGCGACTGTATATAGGTATGTATGTATATGCATGCTCTGAGGCCTACCGCCTCCTCATACGTTCCGAGAGCCGAGATTTTGCAGTTCTGTTGCCCCGAACCTAATGCCACTCCCGCGGTCCCTCTTACTCCGTGCCCGACCCCTCCACCAGTACGCGAGGGGAAGCTAGGTAGATGGTAACAACCACCTCAGGGTATCACCCTAGGCAGTTATAATGAAGAGAGTGAGCGGGACTGTAATAATCTATAAAACCTAGAAGTCCGGGTTGACGGTTATATGCTGTTCTCCGAAGATGGAAGTGATAGCGGTGAAGGGAGTGAAAACCAGCCCGACGATTGATATTAGCCGTACACTCCGGCTATTATAGAGGTTAACTCGGCTATTATAGGCGGTGTTAATGTGGAATGCCTATAGAGGTTAGTATATATAAGTAAAGATAACTAATTGGCAATATATACCAGATCTATTATGTTTTTAATCCTTGCCTAGGAACTAACGGTCCTTAACTTTGTCGAGTGAAACAGCTTACACCGGTAATGTAAATGCTGATAGATGTTCTCTTACACCTTATCGCCTCTTTTCCCGAATAGTTATTCAATAACCACTTTAGGGCTTAAGGTTAGGGTCAAAACAGTTAAAAGCTAAGTTACTTTAATTTATCTAAATAATACCTTATCTAATCTATATAGATCTGAAGTCCCTATATTCCTAGCTATTTTGGTTATTTAATTATATATTTCTAAATACTTTCCTTATTTTGTTGATTTCAGTGTGCCAAGATCCAAGGTCCACATTTTACCCAGAAAAAACCCAAACTAGCTAGCCGCCCCACAGCCCCACCCAGAAAAAACCTAAACTAGTTAGCTGCCCCACAACCCCACCCAGAAAAAACCTAAACTAGTTAGCTGTCCCGCAACATCTTGATGCACCCAATTAGACGGTATCCTCTCCCAGAAAAAACCGAGACAAGCGAACTGGCCCACAACATCTCGATGCACCCAATTAGATGGCATCCTCTCCCAGAAAAAACCGAGACGAGCGAACTGGCCCACAACATCTCGATGCACCCAATTAGATAGCATCCTCTCCCAGAAAAAACCTAAACTAGTTAGCTGCCCCACAGCCCCACCCAGAAAAAACCTAAATAAGTTAGCTATCCTATAATATCTCGATGCACCCAATTAGATGGCATTCTCTCCCAGAAAAAACCGAGACGAGCAAACCGGCCCACAACATCTCGATGCACCCAATTAGATAGCATCCTCTCCCAGAAAAAACCGAGACGAGTGAACTGGCCTACAACATCTCGATGCACCCAATTAGATAGCATCCTCTCCCAGAAAAAACCGAGACGAGCGAACTGGCCCACAACATCTCGATGCACCCAATTAGATAGTATCCCGATATCTTATGTAAGAATTTCAAGAAGCGGGGAAACCTCTTCCTCACCGATATATGCTACCCTTAATCTCTCAGGAATTAGAGAAATCACTCAAACAAACATACCTTTTTCAGATCACCAGTATCTAAGATGGGCCGACCGAGGAAATACCTGAATCCTAGCGATGCTAAACTTGCTAAACGCGAGCAAGACCGTAAAGCGGAGTTACGTCGCCCAATACGTACAGCTCCAAATCCAGGACTTCAATTCTGTTACTATCAACCTGTCCCCCCGCAAACTCAGATCAATGTGATAAACCCTCGGGTTGGACTTGCCGTTAACAACGACATTACGCTTCCTGAGCCTCCTCATGAACCGTTATCCTCTAGCCAAGCTCAACAATTTACACCATTTGGGTTTCACGCTGTAGATTATAACAGTGAGGACCTAATACCTGTAAGAAATCCAACCAGTGATTCTATAATAAACGTTGAATTAAGTTCTTCTTCCTAATACCTTTTCTATAGCTACAAGCCCCCATCCATCCGCAGTTTAGCACCGCACCGCCCGCTCCCGGACCGCCGGGTCCCGCACAGCGACAAGCCCCCATCCATCCGCAGTTTGGCACCGCACCGCCCGCTCCTGGACCGCCGGGTCCCGCACAGCGACAAGCCCCCATCCATCCGCAGTTTGGCGCCGTACCGCCCGCTCCTGGACCGCCGGGTCCCGCACAGCGACAAGCCCCCATCCATCCGCAGTTTGGCGCCGTACCGCCCGCTCCCGGACCGCCGGGTCCCGCACAGCGACAAGCCCCCATCCATCCGCAGTTTGGCGCCGCACCGCCCGCTCCCGGACCGCCGGGTCCCGCACAGCGACAAGCCCCCATCCATCCGCAGTTTGGCGCCGCACCGCCCGCTCCCGGACCGCCGGGTCCCGCACAGCGACAAGCCCCCATCCATCCGCAGTTTGGCGCCGCACCGCCCGCTCCCGGACCGCCGGGTCCCGCACAGCGACAAGCCCCCATCCATCCGCAGTTTGGCGCCGCACCGCCCGCTCCCGGACCGCCGGCTCCCGCACAGCGACAAGCCCCCATCCATCCGCAGTTTGGCACCGTACCGCCCGCTCCCGGACCGCCGGCGCCCACACCGCAACAAACACAATCAGGCCAGATGCAACCAGAAACCCACATCAACATCGGCCTTCAGGATCTATATCTCGATGATATATTTCCAATCCTTCCAGAGCAGCATACAGACCTCGAACAACTTATGCAAGAACGACAGCGAATGGACGATGAACTTGCCGAACTTGTTGAACAACAGCTTGCAATAATTTCTCCAAACGAAGGGCAACAAGAAACACAAGGTCAAAGCATACCTCAACCACCAATCTCTCGGACACCAACCTCACGCTCCCGACAGCTTCAAAAAGCAGCTCAAGGATCTCGCGATATTCGATCAATGTTTAATCGACAGCCATCACCTCGAAGCCAACAAACAGCGAGTTCCCCAATTCGCCCTCTACAACGTCCAAGCCTAGGAAGTGCAACTGGAGTCCTTGGGTTGTTACCCTCTAGCCCTATAGCCGGTATCGGCTCCCCAGCCCAGAGCTCCGCAGCTAGCTCCCGGGCCCAGAGCCCCGCAGCCGGATCCCGGGCCCAGAGCCCCGCAGCCGGATCCCGGGCCCAGAGCCCCGCAGCCGGATCCCGGGCCCAGAGCCTCGCAGCCAGATCCCGGACCCAGAGCCTTGCAGCCAGATCCCGGACCCAGAGCCCTGCAGCCAGATCCCGGATCCAGAGCCAGAGCCCCGCAGCCAGATCCCGGATCCAGAGCCAGAGCCCCGCAGCCAGATCCCGGATCCAGAGCCAGAGCCCCGCAGCCAGATCCCGGATCCAGAGCCAGAGCCCCGCAGCTGGTGTTGGTCTACCCCTTCCTACTTTTCTCATCCAACGCCTCAAACGATTTCCAGCATGTCAACTCATTAAACATCACGAGACTGATAGTCTAACTCCGGCCCATCTGGCATTGCACCACAAGGATGGAGTTTCACAAACTTGCGGGTCACTTCATACTATCGCCAACCATCTCTGGAGCCAGCCAAGCCGCTCTAATCTAGGAGACAATATCGACCCCGAGCCCCGAACTCTCCCAAACGTCCTAGACTCGGGACGTCTTGGCCTTGCAGAGTATCCACCAAACCTCGACTGTCGTACCGCATTTGAAGGGTTTGACTCCCGGGTCCCAGACACTACCCCACCTCGACTTTGCATGTCAACTCAGCACAGCCGAACAACTCAGACAACAGAGCCATTCTTTACATCTTTCGATATCGATAGTATCTGTGCCTTTAGCGACACTCTTGCTTCCTGCCGCCAGGGAATCCGATGGTTTGGCGATATGTACACCCATCTCAACATTACCGCCAACGTCCACCTTGGCCTATCGGTACCCCCAGAGGTAACCTCTACGGATACTCGATGGCGGACTGTCCCTCTCCATACGATCCCACATTACGCTTTTGGCCAAGTGTCTGGTTGGGATACGATGATCGTCCACATCTTCTTCCCTCGCCTCTATAAGGACGCCCATCGACAGAGCAAACCCCTCGAACTTACCCTACTATCTGGCGATCAGTATTCTCTCTGGGTTGATGCCGTCGTTCTCCCCGCAATTGCAGACGCTTGTAGCGTTAAAGACGAGAATGGAAACCTTGTTCCAGACGCCAACGTCCTACAACATCTCCCCCCATCACGCCAAGCAGCAGCCTACAACACATCGGCACCCACTGAGCATGCAGCTCGAACCTCGAAACAAAGTACCGAGAGCACCACCTCTCGACGCCAGATGGTCACAACCCTCATTGGAGCCTCTACCACGCAACGATTAACCGATTTCATCCGGAAACGGATAGAGGATAACCCGGAATGTCAGATCTTTCGAGACTTTGTACTCTATTTTAACTGTAAGAACACCAAGCTGCAGTTTATGGCATCCGATAACCTCGACCACTCCTCGCCACCATCTGGAGCACTCCCACGTGTCGGCCAGCAGTTCCTCGAATCCTGGGCGAAGTGCCTTGACGACGAGACATTAGACCCCACGCGCGTTTTTATCGACCTCGGAAAACAGGTGACCGCAACACCTTCAGCACTCCCCTATGATAGTGGGAGTAAGCCAGCCTCTACCTTTCTCTATCGGAAATGCTGCCTTCAAGCCGCTGTTGATGATCGAGAAGAGTGGCTTGCACAGCAAATTCCGCAAGCAGAGGACCACCAAGCCTCACCAACCCCGCCAAGCCCCAGAGCCCCGCAGCAAAACCCAGCCCCGCCAGCCCCCGACGCAACCCCGCGGCAAACCCCAGCCCCACCAGCTCCGCCAGCCCCCGAAGCGGTAACGCTAGCAGAGGGTGAAGACCAAGATGCCAACC